TAAGTGGCCATACGTGTGTTCTACCGCAAAATTATGGCAGTTTAGCCTTCAAATCAATGCATCTATGTGTGAGTGTATAAGTTAACATTTACCAATATTTTTTTTTAATGAAAAAAAAAATACTCGCAACAACAACAAAAGAGTTACCCTAAACATAATTTTGTGAGTCCGTTTTAATACAATTTGAATTCGTATTTTTTTAAGTCAAAGTTTTATAGATCTTGTCCTCTGCACTTACTTTTCTAAACTTCAGACAATTCGGAACCGGAAACATCACGTTGCTCATGCGCTCTACCACATATTTATGTTAACTACCAAACCGAGTGTCGCAGTGTACATTGATACAAGTTGTTAATTAAAGGACAGGACATTGAACAGAAACCGCCAAGTTGAATGTACCTTTGGTGACATTGAAATGAATTGAGATCTTTTTTTAGGGAGTGTCGACTGATCAAGACTATTCAAAATGCCAGTATGTGATATGTATGCTTTTGATATTGTATTGTTTTTGATGATTGACTGTGAACTGCACCATGTCCATGACTGCAATTGCAACTGTGGAACACTGGATAGATCTAGATTCTACATAATATTATTATTGACTTTGTTCTTGTTCGGTATTTGACGATGGTTAGATTCTAGTTAGACTTTAGCTTTAGACAACCTACATCATGTTTGAATTTACTTTAATCCAGAACATTTTACCTGATCGTCGTCCATCGTCCATAGAGTTGTGTAGACTGATCTGTAGTTCTGTAGTACATTGACTGAGTAACGTAACATTGTTTGGAAGGACTTCTGTAGCCGTAACAAGCGACCACCCAACCTACGCAATAAAGAAGGGACTTTTGTGTGGGATATGTAAAAGATGGGTTTAGTATTTGGTTGGGCAAATAAGAAAGTAAAGAAAGTAAACTGAGCTTGTGTTACTTTGTATTCCTCTTGCCTTCCTTAGCAATGCCAATGAAAATTTAAATTTTCACTTTAGCCCTTTTTTATTTGGTACCTAAGAAAGAATGTTCAATTCTAAGAATTATGCTTCTTGAATTTTGAGAATCGGTTCATAAATAAAAAAGTTATGGGGTTGTAAAGGTCGGCAAAATATGGATGACCCACATATAATACTCCTAAAAAGTGGACCTCGCAGTAGCAGATTCTGTAAGAAAATCGACGATATCTCGGTAACTAATTGGAGTGTTAGAGAGAAACTTGGCTACCCGATGTGTTTTTGGGTGTAGAAATCATTTCTGTAGTCAGATTTACTACCCATTTCGTAGATATTTTGTTATAATTAAAATTTTGGTGTACATATTACGATTTTGCGAAAAAGGGGTGTCGGGATGAGTCCATTTTATTTATAGCATCGTATTACAACATGGGATCTTTAAGAATATATGTGGGCAGCGTGATTAGATAATTGCAAAGCTTTTTATAATGACTTTAGACCATGCCAACCGTAAAATATCAGTTAATTCAATCTAGCATGCCGTACAATTAAAAATTCTTTTTCCCCGTTGAGACGCGAACACCCCGAGACGAGATAACCTCGCCTCGGAATACCCCCATTGCGATGTTACAGGGGAGTAGAGAGAAAAACAACCGGATGCGCGCGTGCGCCATTGCCCTATTTCATGTGACCAATGAACGGGCCCGGAATAGTCATGCAGGGATTTGTAGGTCACATACATTTTCCGCGAGAGTGAAGGGAAAATGGCTGGTCTCCGTGCGAAGCCCCTTTGGGTAGGGGGGGTAGTCGTGCATTTATGATCGGGTCTAAACAACTACTTGACACTGAACGTTCAAATTTGAGCACACTATAGAGGATAGATCTATTACCATCTCGGCGTTGAAATTCAAACTCCTTATAGTTTTCGGTGTACACGATACGAAAGTGTTCCCGACACCAAAAGTATAGGTTAATTTATGTGCACGAACTTCAACGTCCACTTATCATTAGTTTGTCGTATTTTCTAATTGGTTGCCGAGTTTCATTCGGATTGGTTCGGAAATAGAGCAGACCGAGGTTGACAAAGTTAGTCACCTACGCTTCGGTCGGGTCCGCAAAATCGCCCGCAAATGGGGACCAAATTTTCGCCACGCGGGAAAGCCCGATTGGCATTGCTAAATAACGATTTCATTTCGCACGTGTTTTGAACGGAAGAGGAAAAGGAAAAAAAGAACCTAACCCTAAAACTTACCTTAATCAAGGAGGCAAGCTCCCCCTCATAAAAAATGAAGTGCTGCGCTTGATCAGGGGGGCAAGCCCCACTGAACCCTACCCCACCAATTAGCCAAAAGAAAAGAAAACCTACCCTTCGCAATGAGCGACCTCCTCAATAAACACAATAAAAAAAAGTCCTAACCCGAACCCTGACCCAACCCCTAACCCTACCCCTACCCCTACCTCCACCCTTACCCCAACCCTAACTGTAAAAACCTAACCCTCAACAAACACAATACAGAAGAAACCTACCCAGTACCCCTCAACAAACACAAGCCTACCTCCACCCCTACCCCATCACTAACCCCAACACCTAGTTCCTACCCCTACTCCAACCCTACTCCTTACCCTAATAATCCTCAACAAACAAAATAAAGTAGAGACCTACTCCTACCCCAAACCCTAACCCTAACCCCACCCCTACCATCCTAACCCTAATTCTACTGGAAACCCTACCCCTAACCCAAACCCCAACCCTTCTCAAACTCAATAAAGAAGAGGCCTAACCCTAGTCCTAAGCCTACTCCATCCCACCTCCACCTCTAACCCTCAACAAACACAAAAAAGAGACCTACTATTACCCCTAACCCTGCCCCAAACCCTACCTCCAACCCCAACACTAACCCCAACGACCTACCCCTAGCCCTAAACAAACACAATAAAGAGTAAAGAGGAGACGTACCCCTACCCCTACACCAAACCCTATTCTTAAAAAAAAAACAATAAAGAAAAGACCTAACCCTACCCCCATCCCGACCCAACCCCTGACCTTCATCGAACACAAGTAAAGACCTATCCCCCTAACCCTACCCCGGGCCAGAGCCTACTCCTACCCATATCTCTGTCCCAACCCCTACCCATACCCCTATCCCAACCCCTACCCCAGATCCTACCCATACCTCCACCCCTATCCCTAACCCTAACCCTAACAGCTCTCTATTCTTCTCAGTTTCATATTGGTCGATCGTTGCGAAATTCCTCCTCCCTAATAGCAATACAATGTATTTTGCGAGAATTAATCGCGGTGAGAAGTTGATTAGAAACCGGAGAAAACCTGGCAACTCAGCTCTCCCAAACAATGGAAGTATATAAAGTCTGTGGGGTCAACAATGACTGCGCCTTGATTCAAGTCTACTAATCCCTGACTCAGACCTTCAAAACTTTGAACTGGGCCTAAAAATGCGCAAACTACCGTAATTTTGTCATGAACGGATGGTATAACAGTGGCTTTCGGTCTCCCATCACGATTTTGGAAGCCATTGAGTATAATCTAGATTTAACAGTGGTCGCTCATTACGGAAGTCCTCCCACTGTTTACTGTAAGAAAGCCAATGACATCTCAGTAATTATTTGGAGCATTTGAAAGAAACTTGGCAACACAATGTCATGTGTTTTTGGGTGGAGAAATAATTTCTGCAGTCAGCTTTACACTTTATTTTGCAGTTGTTTGTTAAAATCAAAATTTTCTAGTACGATTTTGAGAAAGAGGGTTGTCTGGATGAGAGCATTTATTTTATTTATAAATAGCATCGTATCACAACATGGAATTTTTAAGAAGATGTTGGCAATGTGACTAAATAATGGCAAAACTTTATTTGATGACTTTAGACTTCAGACCATGCCAACCATAAAATATAATTCAATGGCCATTCACTGTCAAGGAGAAAAGTGGCCATCTTACAATGGTGACTGTCCTACATATAGTGTCATTGTTATAATGTTAAAATAAAATGAAATTGTTAAATTGGAAATGGCGATTTGTACAGGTGGTTTTCTTATACAGGTGGCCTTTTGAGGTTGGACTGTGCTTGGGAATCTTTTACAGAGTACTGAAGTTGTATCTTGAAGCTTTACACTATTGAGTTTTTTTTGGGTTTTTAAAATCTTGTTACCCTCAAGAACTTATTTCCATGTGTTATATTTTGCCTTTTCAGGAAAGTCAAAGAATGCAGGATGTGGACAATGTGAGGGTGGTGGTACGTTCAAGACCTATGAATGACAAAGAAAAAGAAACAAGTTGTGTGGAAGTTGTAAAAGTAAGCAGTCTATAGTCCAATGGTTTCTCAAGAAAGGAGAGTTTCTCAATTGACTGTTATGCCATGGTTATGCAATACTTTATTTATATTACAGAATTGAGAATTGGAACATAGTTGTGAGTACAGTAATAGAATGGAAAGCCAGTAAAACATGAATGGTAAGTTATTTATTACTGAAGTGGGACTCCACCTGAGTCTTAGGGTGTCGTCTTTAGATCTGGAAAGCTTCCATATAAAACGGTCGTGGAGCAGAAATGAGACCAAACATTTCACAGCTGTGGAGCAAGTATACTTGTGATATACTGTATTCTGCGAATGTTTGTAGTCCATACATTGTTTATATAAAATGTATTGAAGATATGATATATTTGGATTTTTCCCCGTTGATGATAATTGTTCTGCACTAGCTTATGTATGTTCTTGCAAACGTTTGTGAGACATATTTATTCTTTTGAAGACTTATGATGATAATATTTTTTTTCAGATTGAAGAAGTGAGAGGCACAGTGAATGTGAAAAATCCTCAGGGCATGCCCTCAGAGCCTCCAAAAACATTCACATTTGACATTGTTTTTGGGCCGGACTGCAAGCAACTTGATGTATACAACAAAGTGGCAAGGCCAGTAGTAGACTGTGTTCTGGAGGGATACAATGGTGAGCATTGAACTGGTCATTGAAGAAGAAGTTTAACTGTAAATGGTAGTGCTTTAGATTACAATTACTTTTTAACTCAGGTTATGCTGTTTAACTCTTTATCTCTGAGGGGGATAATCCGCTATGCCTAGGCCCTTTTTTGGTACTTAAACTAAAAAGGACAAAAATGTCACAAAATTAGTCATTAAATCAAAACAAGTTGACCTATTTTGATAGTTCTTCATCTAATGAATACAAAACCGATTTTGATGTCGAAGTTGTCGTAAAGGAATGTATTGGAGCCTCTGTTATCGGCTCACCGGCGCAGTGGTTCCGACCACGATCCGCTTTGAGCGGCTTGGCGGAGATAAAGAGTTAACACCATATTTAATGAGTACATGATAATGCAATGTATACATTTCAAGTTTTTAAGCGAACACATGAAGTTCATGTTTGCTTTTCTTTTCATCTGTAATTAAAAATGTTTTTCTTATCATGCGTACCTCAGTGATTGTTGTATGCTTTACTGGATTTTTCTGTTTGCTTTGTTTTCAGGCACAATTTTTGCTTATGGACAGACCGGTACTGGGAAAACGTTCACAATGGAAGGTTTGAGAGCTATTCCTGAAAAGAGAGGAATAATTCCTAATTCTTTTGCCCACATTTTTGGTCATATTGCCAAAGCAGAAGGAGACACAAGGTAATAATAATATTTTTGTTGTTCTCTAAAACATGATGATTCCAGTATATTTACATATTGTTGTGTGTGTTTTATCTTTTGCTATTCAGATATACAAAGAATCATCACAAAAGTTACATGAGTTTATGTAGATTTTTGGCATCTCAAGCACTCAGGATAATAGTTTTGCTAAGAGTAGAAAAAATCTCATCTCTTAGTTTAGACAAATTAAAGGATCTGGCTACCTATCACATATTCACTGTTTAGCTAAATGTCTTACTTATTTTTTTCTTCAGATTTCTTGTGCGAGTATCCTACCTGGAGATTTACAATGAAGAAGTGCGAGACTTGCTGGGAAAAGATCAACACCAAAGACTGGAGGTGGGAACATTTGATGGAAGATTGTTGTGATTTGTGTAGTTTTGAGAGGGGCATTATCAAAGTGATATTAGAAAACTTTTCCTAACATTTAATCTTTCTTTTTTTTAACCTATTGTTTTTAGATTCTTTTCTTAAATTGTACATTCTTACGACATTAGCAAAAGTATACTGAAAGTGTTTGTTTGTGTTGAAACAAGCAGGTTTATTGTAGAAATATGCTGTATCTAAACTGTACTTATCAGGGCTTCCAGTCTTCCGCAATTTTGCGGATTTCCGCAAATTAGCAGAATTCCGCAAATGGAAAAATTTCCGTGAAAATTCGTGCAAAAAAAAAATTAATTTAAAAAATATTTTTAAAAATGCGAAATAAAAAATTTCCGTTATTACCAATAGTCAACAATAGCCAACCCATACCGGAAGTGCTCTTTTATTTGAAAGTGTAGACAGTGTCTTCTACTTTCACTTTCTAAAGCTCAAGAAGCAGAGCATCAGCAATGTAAACAAGAGGAAGAAATGACGATTGTGATTCAATAGATCTTGGGCCTGCCAAGAAAAGAAAACTCTAAAGAGAGCTTGCTTTTTTTTTTACCAGACTTGTTTATTTGTAAGTTTTGTTGTAGATTTAAGTTGAATAAGCTGTCAAGTTATTTAGATCTAGACTAGATCTAGACTCTAGATCTAGAATCTTGACTAGAATCTAGCTAGATATTAGATCTAGATCTAGATCTAAATCTAGATCAAGTCAAACTGTTATACTATTATTATAAGGATTCTACACCTTATGATGATTATGGTGCAAACCAACACAAGCAGAAAAAAAAGTTAAACATTAACTGTCAAGTTTTATAGATCTAGACTCTAGTTGTGGATGTACAGTATCTGTAGTACAAGGGCCAAGGGAGAAAGCATGGCTTTGGATTTGGAAATATATGGATTAAACAAGCAGAAACTTATGTAGACCTATACAAAGTGTGTTTTATTTTTCACTTATTTTCTGTTAAATTTAGGCTTGAATAGCCAGAAATGGCATACTTAGGATGTTCCGAAACCAAAAGTTCTCAAACATAAAGGGGACGCTGTCCCCCTTCAACCCCCTGCCAGGGCTCCGCCCTGGACCCGAAAGTCCTCGAAAAATGACATCAGCTGCTGGAAGCTCTGACTTATACGATTATAGGCAAATGCTCTCATAAACTCTCAAATACAGACGCGCACACACACACACACACACACACACACTCACGCACACACACACACACACGCGCACACACACACACACACACACACACCACACACACAAACACAACACACACACACACACGTAGACATGTGCATGCACAGACACACACGTATATGCACATACATACACGTACAGGCATACATGCACACACACTGTCGGATGTTCTGTTTATTTCTCACTGAGAGCACACTCATTGAAAGCACATTCACTGAAACCACACAAACACAGACATGTATGTTGGGTCATTGTGTTGCTGCTTTGTGCTGTGAACAATTTTTTCTTTACAAGATAGCATTCCTTTTTTACCAATCTACATCTACTAGCATGAATGTTTTTTAATCTTTGCATTTTCTGCAGGTCAAAGAAAGGCCTGATGTTGGTGTGTATGTCAAAGACTTGTCAGCTTTTGTTGTGAATAACGCAGATGATATGGATCGCATCATGACACTTGGAAACAAAAATAGTAAGTTCATTGAGTACAAAAATAGTTACAGGTTCATTGTGTATACAAAAAAATATGTTTTATTATGTATATCGAATAGAAAGCAGAATCTTTCCTCAAAGATTTTCTGTTGGTAGTCAGTTACTTGTTTTTGCTGTCTTCAACTTACCATTTTACTTTTTTACTCAAAGTTTATGCCCGTCAATTCTTTCTGTTCTCTTGAGTGTTAACGTGCTAATTAAATATTTGTATAAGGTATACAATTTGGCATTTTAATCTGTTGCAATAAGTTGGAGTAAATTGTTGGTCATGTTGTTTTTTTTTGTGTTCAGCATTTTAAACCAGTACTATTACTCGTGCATGATTTATTTTGAAAAATAATTTGATACACTTTGTGTATAAGATGTCATCTGCTACTTCATCCAGGATCGGTGGGTGCTACTCACATGAACATGCACAGCTCCCGCTCCCATGCCATCTTCACAGTGACCATTGAGTGTAGTGAGAAAGGACCAGACGGGGAGCAGCACGTTCGCGTGGGAAAACTGCATTTGGTCGATTTAGCGGTCAGTTTCTGGAGATTTCCGTTATTCAACCGTCTCATATCTTTCCAGAATTTTTATTTGCTTAATTTATATGGAAAAGTGCACGCTGTTCCATTTTTGTGTGAAAATATGGCCTTTGTTGTCAGTTCATAAGTTTACAATTCACAAGTTACAACATGTTATTTTACATGAGGTGTGTGAAAGGAACACAGGTTTGCTCATTGTTATTTTTTAATTTGTTTTAATTGGATGGGGGGCGAGGAGAGGGGGGGGTTGTTTGTTACTTCCTCTATTCTCATTGATGGCTTGCATGTCTTTTTTGTAATGGAGAAACTGGTTAAAGCACACTGCCAGTTTCTTCCAATGAGCAACAGTAATCTTAGTTAGAGTTACTTTATTTGATCTACTCTTATTGTAACTTGCCTTCTCTTATCGTAGCCGATCTCATCTCATGTTATCTCATCTCATCTTATGTGATCTTGTTGTATCTCATCCTAGCTTGTTTTGTTTTATCTCCTCTTATCTTGTTGTGTTGTCTTATCTCATCTCAACTTTTAAGGTCTTGTTTTTTTTGTCATCCTATCAAAGTTCATCTCATTCTGTATTGTTCTGTCTTTGCTCATCTTTCTCATATCATCTCATCTTGTACATTCCTGTCTTATCTCATCTGATCTTATCTCGTCTCATCTTGTATGGTTTTGTCTTATCTGATCTAATTGTATTTCATCTGATCTTATTGCATCTCATCTCATTGCATCTCATCTCATCTTGTATGGTCTTGTGAAATCTAATCTTATCTCATCTTATCTATCTTCCATCAGGGTTCGGAACGTCAGGCCAAGACAGGTGCCACAGGCCAGAGACTTAAGGAAGCCACCAAGATCAACCTGTCCCTGTCCACCCTGGGTAACGTCATCTCCTCCCTGGTAGATGGGAAGAGCACCCATATCCCCTACAGGAACTCCAAGCTCACCAGGCTGCTGCAGGATTCTCTAGGAGGAAACTCAAAGACAGTCATGGTGGGTTTTTTGAACAATGGAAAAAGTATGTTTTTGAGCTATGAAAAAAGTTTCAATGCTACCAAAGTATTGATTTTTTTTTTTATGGCAAAAAAGTGTGGTTGTTCTTGTTTGTTTTCGTTAGTTTTTTTTCTGTTCATTTTAAAAGTTTAAATGATGGGTACTGTTTATTTCTGTTCCTTTAGAAGTTTAAATCATTGGTACTGTTTTTTCCAAAGTTGATATCGATTTAAGTAAACATAAATCGTTTTATTTCTATTGTTTGTACAGAATAAACTTTTTTTGGTGTCTTTTTTTCACTTCATAATGTAAGCACTCTACACTTCTACATTGTGACATGAGGGTAGATGGGTACCAATGGGGTTGATGAATATTATGATTCACAATACAGTTATGTGATTTTATGTTTTTATGAAGATGTAGCATAATTCACTCATGAAACACATTTGGAAGCAAATTTAGAAGGCAAGAGTGGAAGGGGGAGACCGTTGCAGGAAGAATGGCAAGAGACAAGAGTGTTTATTGCAAGAAGGTCAGAGAAGCAATGTGCAACTTCTGGAAAAGCTAAGAAGAAGAAAAAGACGTAGAAAGGATTTTCTTATTGAATAAATAAACCTTCTTTCAGGTGGCAAACATTGGCCCAGCTGACTACAACTACGATGAGTCTATCAGCACACTGAGGTACGCAAACCGGGCCAAGAACATCAAGAACAGAGCCAAGATCAACGAAGACCCCAAGGACGCTTTGCTACGACAGTTCCAGAAGGAGATCGAAGAGCTGAAAAAACAACTGGAAGATGGTAATTTTAAGAACAATAAAAATAACTTTAGAAAATTAAAAACAATGGGAGGGTGGTTATTTTAAAGATTGTTCAAAGCCTTGAGAAACAACCCTGTGTGGAATAACCTGTGGTTGATTGGTACTTTATATTTGGTCTAAGTTTTCTATAAATAGATTGATGGAATATTACTAAGATGATAATGGGCGAGCTGCTGTGAATGTACAGTTGAGAAGCATGGTTTTAACTGTATCAGTTTTCTAAAGAGGATCTTTTTCAGTGTAGAATATGTTGGATAAATTTTCTCCCTCTCATCTTTAGAGAATTTTCGGTAGATGTACAGGTAACTCTCAAGGGAAAGTAATTTTTTTTTTTTGACTGAGGTAAAATCATTTTTCTTTTTCTCAATACTGATATGGGAAATCTGGTGTCTCATTGAAAGATGACCAGAGTATGAGGTCACTACTTTTAATTTCAATATTTTCTTCCCATGTTCCAGGAGATTATGAAGAAGAAGGTAGTGAAGAGGAGTCTGGCTCTGAAGAGGAAATCGTTGATGAGAATGGAGTTAAGAGAAAGGTGAAGAAAAAGAAAGGTAAGTTTCATTTTTGTTTATATCTTATATATTTATGTCTTTTGTACAGAGACACTTGGAGTATTTGTGTTGCCAATTTGTTGTGCAAATACATAGATAGTTCCACTGAGAATGAGTGTGCAGATTAAGACAGTTGATTGTTTATATTTTATATAGTGGCCTTTTAAGGTACCTCCTTATATAATGGTTGAAAATAGCATTTGAAAAACGGAGTGGTGGGGAGAGGGGGTTTTTTTTACACTCTATTTTGCACTGTCCTCTTGTTTCTTAATGCTGCACACTTATTCCTTTTGGTTTTGTTTTGCTTTTTTGTATAACTGCATAAGTTATTTCTGAAGAAGTGGAAGAGTTAGTTATGTTAATGTTGTTGTTTTTTGGGTTGTTTTTTTTAAACAAAGAAGTATTGTAGAAGAACTAGCTTTATTGTAAGGATTTCTGAATCGGGTCACTTGTCTAAACTAAGAGATGAGCTTGTTCTCCTTCTTCTGTTAATGGTATCTTTGTGAAGTTCCAATTAGGGGAAAGGAGAAGGTGGGGGAAAGGAGGGATGATTTTTTTTGGGGGGGGGGGGGCGGGGAGAAAAACATGGGTATCTTAGGTATTAGAAAGGAGAGAGAGAAAAGTGTAGCAAAATTATGTTGTGTAATGTAATACTACTAATATGATGTGACTTGTAATGCTGATATAGTTTAGAACATTTCACTGTATATAATTTCACTTGCGATGTCGTTTTGTCTCCAATCGTATCTCTTAGTGTGTACCAATGTGTGTGTGTGTCAGAACACTGTTGTAATGTTAGGGGAAAGCTACAATGTGAAATTACAGCTTATATACACTTAAGGTACACCACGGCAGCCTAAAAAGTCGATTTTGGTATCCAAAACCGATTTTTCGATTTTGGACTATTTTAGTAGAGCAACATCTGCTTTATCGGTTGAAAATATTTTCAAGTGTCCAAAACATCTATAAAGTGCTCACATATGCCATGTATTTTAACATTGTGTGGTAATAGAATGGTATGAATTCGTGTTTTTTAAAGTTTTCTAAAAACTATGATTTTCTTAGGGGGGTGGGTCACCTTGGCAGAGATATTTCTAAAAGTACTCGTCGCAGTTGAATCCAACTTTGCATGACTGTTTCTAGATAATATGTTTGCAACGTACTAAAAGATTATTGTGATAGTGTAATAAGTCTTCCGTCAGTGTTAAAAAGATTGGCAGTATAACTCTGATTTGTGATCATTTTTTTGTCCAAGTATCGTATATGACACTAAAAGGGCAGTTACAAGAAAAGTATGAGACTTAGGAAAGTAAATCTTTAGTACGTTGCAGGTTGTATATACACAAACTCTGTGTGACAACATCAAGGCTGTATCAATTCAATCTTTTTCAGAATCCCTGCCAACAATTTGCGCGAATTTTGGTCTGTCGAACCATTTGCATCTTAAAAATTCAAAAAATTAACAGTGAAATCATATAGGGATAGTGTGTTTCTGTTTCTTGACCCATACTGGTTATTGGGAATCCCAGTATACTTAATTTAGAGCCCAAACAAAAATTTTCATTTCAGCTGTACCTAGTTCACCTTAAGTAAGAGCATTCTAGGCACAAAGTACATGTGTACACATGTTCCTATGCCTTTGTATGGGAAAAACAGTCTGCATAGTTTAAAAACACAAAAGTGTGGATAAGTATTCTCTTGACCTTGTATGTGAGAGCTATTTACGTTTGGGAAAAGTGTCAGGACAAAGTCTTGAATCTTGAACAGTGTTCTGACATACCAGTAGTTTCATAGTTTCTCATTAAATTTGTATTTTCAAAGTCACATTCACCACTTTTTTTAAAAGGAAATAATGGGCAAATATGTGTATGTGTGAAAGTAAAGCAGTGTGAATTTTTAAATTTTTTTTTGGGGGGGGGTATTTGCCGTAAGGCATCATGTTTAAGCATGTGAGAAATGACTGAAAATTGTCTCTCTTTGTCTGTTCTGTATTTTGCAACTTATGCAACAGGGGATGGTGAGTTTCACAATGCACGACTTTTTATCTTTCACTCTAATAGATTTTGATGTGTTTTTGCTTTAAAAACTTTTTTTTCTGTCTCAATTTTTCACCTAAGTAAGGATGAGCTTTCCTGCCATTCAATTTACACTGTTGTTGATATTGAATTTATTTAAAAGAAAATATGAAAATACGAGACCCTCGTTAGCTGTCTGCGTCTACTAGGTTTGGGCCCTATAAGTTGATACTCAAAACTCATTAAAAAAAACAACAACTGAACAAACCCAGCTTGGTTCATTTCAAACAGCTACTGATGCTTTTGACATGTTTTTTGCCTGAAAATGTGATACGTTCTACACTGTGGATGTAAGAATGTACTGCATTATTGTCTTCTACCCTTGGGATTTAATGGAGGAAAGAAGCATGTTTTTAAATAAAGCAATCATTAAGTGTAGAGGAAAAAGCAAAAAAAAAAGACAAACAGAAACTGCTGAGGGAAAGAAAGGAAGCAGGACCTATCAGCGGTGTCCTCTAATGACCTGTAGAATTAAGCCGAAGAAGTAAAAATTAATGCAAATGTCTTTTTTGTTTATTCTTACTGTGAATTTTGCATTAGTTTGGAATTGATTGATAACATTATTTAAAAGAGTAATTGAATGAGTTTTCAATTATTCTGTTCTCTCCTCGGTTTATCAGAAGATGGTAAGCTAATGCTTCTAAAACCTGCCTGCTGGGTCGATGATGCATGCTTGATTTTTTAACTTTAGGTGGAATGTTCAGATTGTGCTGCTGGCTTTTATGATTACACGTGTGTCTATTCAGGATTCCGGAGGGCAACTCAAATAATTTTTTGTGGGATTTCATGAGCATGCACTGTGTTGTGTTTATTTTTCCTTGTTATCTTGTGTCCAGACAATTGTATGCCTTTTCTGTTGCTCTTAGTGGTTGGTACAAATCTGTGTGGGTTTTCATATAAAATGTTGAGACAAAAGTTTGCCTAGGCTTATTTTGCAGGAGTGGGGGATTCAAAAAGATTTTAAATATTGGTTTAATGGTGTGAAAAAAATAGTACAACAAAAATTGTTTTTTAACCTCGTTTTAAATACTTTTTCTAATTTCTCAATTGTCACTTGCATAGGTTCTCAATGTTGAGAGAAAAGAAAAGGAAATATGAAAATGGCGTCCAAAGTAATTGTCATACCTGAATTCTGTTCCATTTAATCCCATTGACAATGTATTGGTGGTGGTCACCACAACTGAATTTTAAAGATTGTCTCTTTATTTACGAATATTTTTCTTGTGCTTAGCACTGTTTTGACCATCATTGGGGTTCTCTTGTCATTTGGAGTGAAAAAGAAAAAGGTGTCAAGAGTAATATGTTTAAAAGTTACCTTAAATGTGCTGCTTGTAGTAGATCTGTCCTTTGCTTTTGAGTTTGAGGTCTTGGAAAGCTTGGGTGGGTTTTTTTACCTTTGACTGCAAGGTTTGTTGTTTTTATTTTCTCGACTGACTATCAGTTTTGCCTTGCTTATAGTGAGGGGCTGTTGTTTAAGGAATGGGAAATGTTCAGCTTTACACGTTTGTGCATGTTGATAATCTAGGATGTGTCTACAGTCAGTGTTATGAAAACTACGCTGGAAAGAGTGTGATTGCACCACTTACAATTCATCAGCTGTTCTTTCTTTGACTTTCTTCGCTTTTGTTTTGCTACTCAAGTTTATCCTGTCAACAAAACAGATAAACTCTATCTGGAGAATACAAAGGTGGATTGCATTATGGTTCTCTAGGCTTCCCTTTTTTTTTTTTGTCCCTGACTTAAGTGTTTGAATATCTTTGAGTCTGAAAAGAGAGGTAGTCTCTAGAAAGAGTTTGAATTTTTATATTGCTAACAGTATCATTTTTTTTTTTTCTCGCTTTAGTTGAAAGACACCGCTAAGAAGTGGAAAAAATGTGAATGATTTTATTGTAGAAGATAAATGGAAATCTGTTTATCAATCTTTTCAGTAGTTTGCATGGCTCTTTCATGTTTCCCTAGCAGGATTGTATATAAGAGAGATTGTTACATGTGTCAGTGGATTAGGTTGGTCTGAATACTGTACACACAATCTATTTATTGACGGTGGGCTGTTTGGTGTCAGTGGATTAGGTTATTTGGAATACAATATGCACAATCTATTGTTGGGGTGTTTTTTTCCTTTCTCATTCACCTCATGTCAAAGAAAAGTTTTACTTGAGAAATATCCATTATTAGTCTGTTGCCTCAAATGTATTTTAAAAAATTTAATAAGTGAAAACTACGCATAAAATTTTTGTTGTTGTTGTGATTGTTATGTCTTGGAATAGTATCCAGATATGTCTTGTCTTTGAGCTTATCGAAAAACAAAAATCAATATTCTGTAAGATTAATATTGCTGCAGGCTTATACTGGTGTTTAATTAATTACTTTCATTATGTAAGTTCAAGACCATAATATAATCTTTTCCACTTTGTTGTGCACATACCTTTGTTATGAGATGTTGATCCTCCAAAAACAGTAAAGCTACATTACCTAACGTCATCAGGAACTGTATTTCAGAGAACAATGAAGTTTTGATAGGACATTGCTGGCAGGACTTAGTCTAGATATTATTATATTCATGTCAAATAATTTATTTATGATTTTTCTTAAATTCTATTTTTTTCTTGACATGGTAAAAATTGTCAGTTATTGTAGACTGTGTGAACAGCTTGCAAAATTGTGGAGATATTTAAAAAAATCAAATTTGAAGTGTAGGTCATCCATGGCTGAAGTTGGTTCCTTTTTATTTTGAATGCAAGTGGTTTTTACACCCTCATCGACCCAATTTAAATTATTTAGGAGGCAGGCTTCCTACCCTGCTTGTCAGGACCAACCTGAGTTGAGAGGGATACAACATCCCAGCAGAAATACTGGGCCACTCCATAGAAACTTTCCCCACTTGGGAATAAAACTCGAGTCTCTTGCATGAGACAGCGAAGCCCCAAACCGCTACACTACTGATGCCGGTTATCGTTCTGTTTCTTTGTGCTTTTATAGCCTGTAAGGTCTAGAGTAATTCTTGTTTTTTCTTTTCAACCTTCAGCCAAGTAGGCCACCCATGTTTGTTCACCAGTCTGTACATTTAATTTCCTATTTTTGACTTTTGTGGAGGTGGCGTCGGGTGCCTAATGGTCAGGCTACTGGGCTGGTATTGATGAGATTGCGAGTTCGGAGGTTTAAGCCTCAGCTTGGTCTGATGTTGTGTCGTTGGGAAAGGCACTTAACAAGAATTTCCCACTTGGTTCCGTCTTATTGGAGACAGATGTTAAACTCGGAGGTCCCGCCTCTTAAATAACCTGATAGTGTTGATAAGGGCATTAAACCTATACCATTTCACCATTTTCACTTTTATAAATATGCTTTTTCTTCATCTGTTTTGATGAATTTCAATTGTAGTTTTTATTTTTAAAATCTTGGAAGTTTCATTCCCTTGTCCGTCTTGTTTTGTTGTGAGCAGCAAAGCGTCACATCTCCAAGGAGAAAATGCTGGAGATCCAAGCGAAGATTGAGGAAGACCGGAAGTTGCTGGAGTCGAAGAAGGACATGGCGGAGGAAGAGAGAAACAAAGTCAAGACAGATTTGGACAAAAAGGAAAACGAACTCAAGAAATATCAGTGAGTACCTGCTTCCTACAACTGGGAACAATGATTTATACCATTTTAGACATAGGAGAAGATGTTGAGGTTTATACTATATAAGTCCATGAATGGAGCCAACATTGAATTGGAACACCCCCACCCCACACACATACATACTTAATTTTTAAAAAAGAGAAAAAGAAAAACACAACTCAAAAACAACAACGGAAAAAAAAAAATAGCAAAAAAATAAACAGCACTCTTGCTTTAAATAATGAAATGAGAGGTCTATTCAGCAGCTGAGAATTGCAGCATGTCTGTTTTGAAATTTGAATGATATAAAATTACATTGATTGTCTTCCTTGTTTTGTGCCAGCTTTTGTTGTGAGAAATTTTTTCCTGTTTAGATGAGAGGAATACGGTTGAACCTGCTCTTACGATCACCTGTCTGAGACCCTCACCTGCACAAACAACTAACCTCTTCCCTCATCTCTTGTTACAATTTTTCCTCCCCTATATTTTAATTACACTGTACTGTATGAGAGGGCCACCTGTCTTAGATGACTACTTTGCTCTTTGATAATGAGTAGTGTCTTAAACAGGTTTGACTCTACTCTATGTACATATTTTAATTAGTTTGATTCTTGGTCTCACGGTTATTTATTTTCAAGGTCACGCTTATTCTCTGTGCAGGGATGAGCAAGAGCAGCTGAAGCAGAAGCTGACGGTGATAGAGAAGAAAATCATCGTGGGCGGGGAGAACCTTCTGGAGAAGGCTGAGGAGCAGGAGAGACTTCTGGAGGAGAGTGCTAAGGAGCTGGAGGCTCGCAAGGAGAAGGAAGAGGAGCTGAAGAAGGCTTTGGAGGAGAAAGAGGTACGAAAGTAGGCACTGCACACTGATGGTCATCAATGACTTGTTGGTTGTCTGTGTTAGTGTGATACTGTGTGTTACGTAATTTATCTATGTATGAATGTATGGCAGTGTGAATCAAATCTCTCCCCAAGTATTAATGAAAGTGGAATTTTGTTTTGTTTCTTTTGTTAAAAATTGCCAGAAAGTCTTTTGTTTTGGAAATGTTTGATTTCCCAACTTACTGATGTAGTGAACCTTGCACCCAACTAATTCACACATTAAACTGGAAATAAAATTTTCACCTTTATCCCCCTTGGACTTCAGGAAAATTATTAGATTCTCAGTTCGCTGTTTTTCTTTGCCTCTTTTAAAATGTTCATCAAAAGGATAAATCTGAGTCTGGATCTTGGTAAGCTCATGGTGAATAAAGTGGACAGTATTGTGATGACTGATTAAATTATTTTTTTCCACAGCAAGAACGCTTGGACATAGAGGAGAAATACTCGAGTCTGCAGGAAGAAGTTGCTGGCAAGACCAAGAAGCTGAAACGTGTGTGGACGATGTTGATGCAAGCTAAGTCTGAGGTATGATCGGGACGACGTGCAGAATGGAATTTTCACATTATCTTTGTTTCTGTTTGTTTATTTTTCTTTGTTTTGTTTTTTGGGGGTTTTTTTGTTCTTTGTGCTTTCCTTGACTGCTAACCGTTTAAGCACCCCACATGCTAAGGATAATTCTACCGTGCGCAAGATGTCACCGATCACAGTCTTTAATCAATGATTTTTCACTTATTGTAAGAGACAGATCGGTAAAGTTTATATCTATAAGAATATAAATGATGAGATGAATTCATCCACTGACAGGACCTGCATAGAACAAGCCATAACGATGTAAACAACTTGAAAGAACTAAGACTGAACAAACTCTCCGGTTCTACGCGTTTGCTGTCTCACACTATGTGTGTGAGAAAGACTATGTTCATCGCTTTGTTATATCGGTTACGAAGCTTGCGCTTCTCGTCAAACTACGTATAAGTAGAAAGACAAATGAGGAAATAGTTTTATCCATAGGGAAGAATCGGGCAGAACAAGCCATAATGATGTAAACAAGTGTAAAGAACTGAGACAAGCATTCCAAGTTTACATGTTGAGTTTGACCGCCTCACACGATGTGTGTAAAAAATCCAACTCACCTGTCTTGGTTTTCGTGTTGTAGATACCGCCCTTTCCATCACATAGTCTATACTTAGATATCAGTTCCTAGCTAAAATGATAAGCTTTCAAGAGATGCCACTCTCTTTATTCAAAACTTTGTAGAAGCTCAAATATAAACAAAACGATACATGGGTTTGAGCCGCCGTATGAGATACGCTTACACAGCACGGGGCGACAGATTATCAGTACGCACGAGATAAGTCCACAAAGCAATGAAGAGGTTGATAGGGACACAAAACATTTTTCAATCAAGTCTTATGTGCAATGAAGCAGCAAGTTGAGTGAGGTGTGTTGTTGTGTCAATCTCAAATTGTGTGACTTGTGCTTTTGTGTCTGCCTCTGTAGATCACTAGTTGAGTGACATGTGTAGTTGTGCCGGCCCGTGTTTATCACTCGCTGAGTGACATTTGTAGTTGTGCCTGCCTGTGTTGGTCACACGCTTGAGTGACATGTGTAGTTGTGCCTGCCTGTGTTGGTCACAAATTGGTTGACATGTACTGTTGTGTCTGTCTGGTGTAGATTGCGGACTTACAACAAGAACACCAGCGAGAGATGGAAGGGCTTCTGGAGAACGTGAGACAGCTGAGCCGCGACCTCAAGCTACAGATGACCATCATAGACAGTTTTATACCACCGGAGTACCAGGTGGGTGCACACAGTCACAGGGAACTGTTGTTTCAGAACATGTTCCTGATAAAGCCATAAAGATGAGATGGACAATTTCTTAAATACTAAATATACTCATCAATCATAGTATCCTAGTGTTCATAATTTTTGCTACTTGTTACTTGTATGAAGGACCGACATCACTGCACAAGGGGCAATTTTTTGCTACTTTGTAACTGTAAGAACATGTCAAAATCAGTTGACATATCTGACCATTTATTATCTGAGGCAGTGACATTAAACCGAATGTAATAGCTAAAAGAGTCTACTAGAATATTTTTATGCCCATGGATAGTAGCATCTCTACCTCCTTTCTTTCCTTCTTCATTTTTAGATAAGACAATGTGCTAGAAAGGTTTTGCTACAATATTTTTAACTCTTTGGTTTATTGCTGTGCATTTCTTTGACAAAGATGTTATTTCTCATTTTGTGGTGGGTTGTTACAGGACATGATAGAGCAACACGTCCACTGGAACGATGACATCGGGGAGTGGCAGCTGAGATGTGTGGCCTACACCGGCAACAACATGAGGAAACAGACTCCACAGCCTGAGAAAGAAAAGGAAAAGGTATGATTGTTGTTGTAGGATAAGGAAAAGATTATTATGGTGTTCATAAGTCCAAAGACAACCTGGAAATGTCTCTTAGGAACTTCAGTTTAAATTCTTCAACATAAGAGAGCCCCGCTTTTGACAGACCCTGTTGGAGAGCAGTAATCACAGTGGGCAGCAAGTCATATGAGGCTTCGCGAACAAGAAATTTTGAAGCCAAGCTGCGCTCACCCACGAGTGGTAGTGAAGCCTTTAAATACCCAAAATGTGGCATACTTTCCTTCTCCAGATTTGGTCTCATTGGCCATAGCAGAAGCCACAAGTCATCTTTGACTTTATTTCTTCTATTTTGCTTAAAAAATATTGTTCTCTGTAGATGCATTGGCCATGGTCAGACATTAATAGACTGACTATTATGGTTTTAAGTGTGACCAACAGCATGCTGCCTTTGTTGGTTGTGCGCCTTGTCTTGTTCTGAAAAATTTATTTTCTTTTTCTTATTGTATTTCTGGAAAGAGCTTGATAGCGGCCTATACTCCTAAAGGAACCAAGTGTAGTTGTAGGTGAAGTAATCAGTGTCCTGGAGAGAGGTACTCTGGAGTAGCTATGTAGGCCTATTCCGATCAAGTTTTCTTGTTATCTATGAAAATGGGTGGTCCATAAAATTTCTCTAAGAGGCTGCTAGGTCAAGATGAAATTCTATCAATTCTAGCCATTGTAATGTTGGTATTTAATCCCATTGCACATGACACCCAGAGACAAGGGAAATATTGTATGTAGATGCTAAAGAGGGAGGAGGTGGGTCAGCAGGTGAGCACTATAGGTGGGAGTGGGTTAAGTATATAAAGGAAATTGATCTGATAAAAGGATGCATGCATTTTTTGTGAAAAAAATGATTTTCTAAATACAAATGACTCTTCATTGCGCAAAGCCATTAACATGAAATTCCTCTTACCACGAAGGGGTTTCAAACTCCCGTTTTTGTTGGGGGGGGGGGGGGGAAGGTTCGCTCAGGGTTCTATGCATTGCGACCTTTCCTGAACACAAAATTTGCTCTACACAAAGGAAGTGTGTCTATTCCAGTGAAGCTTGTGTTCTCAAGGTTTTACTGTAGAGTTCTTTTTTTTCTTTTTTCAGCAGAGCCCAGAGATTGACTTGTCCCACGTGTACCTGGCCTACACCAGAGAGGGAGAGGCCGAGGCCTTGAGGCCAAAGACAGGGAAAGGTTCAAAGTCTGGCAGACCAAAAACAGCAAACAGGCCAAAGAGCTCAAAGAAGTAAGTTGACTGAAGGAAAGTGAAGAGGGAGTAGGGGAGGTATGTTATGAGATATAAAGAGTTGTTTGTGAATGTAGAAGCACGTTTGTTGATTACTGACATTTGCGATGTAATAGTAATATTTAGGATTTTTGCCATTGCAAACAGAGTACTTGTGTTTGATTCCCATGTGTGAAATATTTTTGTCAAGTTTGTTGGGATTTATTGCACACCGCCCAGTGTTGTGCTATTTCATTCAGGTATTCTATAGAATAATACAAGCTCCTTTTTTCTACTTCTTCTCTATAACATCACACTTGAAGACCAGTATCTATTATGTACTAGGCTGTTCTGCTAAGTTCCTCTGTTGCCCCATACAGCTTCTCCTGTAACATTAACGGGGATTGGCCGCGTTTCCTGTTTTAAGTTTCAAATAAAAGCTCCCATTTTTCCCCCCAGAAAACGCAAAGATGCCAACATCGATTCGGTGCTTCAATGACTGTTGGTGTGGTCCGTCAGTCTGCTCATGTTCAAATCTCTGCTGCTGTTGGACTGTGTGGAGGAGAAGGTGCTGGGGTCTCTGGCTCTGGTGGCTTCTCTCAGAGTCTCGTGAGGAGAAGGGAAAAGGTCACCGCTTTGAAGACAGCAGTTCTGCTTTCTGGATAGTCAGAGGACATTATGTTTGTGTTCAACAGTTACAGATCTATACACGTTTCTTCTACACATCTGGTTGCTACATGGGTAAGGTGAAATGTATACAGACACAAACTGTGGAGGGGAACATTTTTAGAACAAGTTTTGAAAGAGTAATCTGAGTTTCCAAAATGTCAGTAAGTTTTTTTCCGATTGTTTCAGTCGTTTAATTTTGGACATTTTTTTTCCAGTCCAAGAGAATTGTGAGTCCTTTGTGTTGCATTTTCAGTCTAGCTGGCCTCTTGCAAACTCTCCCTGGTTCCCATTTCAGAATGTATGTGATCTCCCTTGTAGATCCAAATATTCATGACAAGTTCTGTGAATGTACTTATAAAGTATCTGAAAAACACGAAAATGTTCCTTCACTTTGGCCCTGATGTGTGGGATATCTAAGGAAAGGGGAGGCTTTTCCTTTTTGTGGGTGCTCTGGTGTGGTTTGCTCGTTCTTTCTTATCCAACATCTTTTATTTATTTTTTTTGGTCTCTTTGTATGTTACTCACAAGTGACACCTCTAAATCTCTTGCTCTTAAATGACCTATTTTTGTCACAAGTGCTGTAAAACTCACAAAAAGAAAATGAAACTTTTCCTTATTTCACATCTTTACACCTAAAGAGCAGTAGACCTATCTTTTGGCTGCCAACTTGCTCTCTTTGTTGCTGTGCTCATATGACTGCCTTAGAATGGGATACCATGCTGTTTTTAAAATAAAACAAGCATGTAAGACTGATAATGTAGCTGAAAATTTCCCCCCTTCAGACATTACCATTTTGTCAGTTGTCACAATGCGATGTGAATGAGACAGAAATTCTTGTTTAAGAGTGTGGGCTTGCTTTCCTTTCCTTCCGACCCAGATTATCAACACAATATTTTCTATCTCCATCTTTTATTATAATATCAGGAAAGAAAACATCTTTCCACATGAAAACTGTTCGTTTTCCTGCAAAGGTACATCCAAAAAATCCTCCATATATGTGAAATGTAACACTTGTAACAGTTCAGCAGTGACAATAACTTTTGGATCTGATATCTGATGTAGACAGTACCAATCCTTTCATCTTGTCTGACTTTTGACTCACCTCAGTGAAGAATGTGGCTTTTTCCCATTACTTATGATAGTGATAATGTGATACATTTGTAATATTGTACCAGGGAGATAGGGAACTAATTTTTTTGGGGGGGGTTTTTTTGCTTTTTTTTTTTACTCTGTATCTGAAGAGATTGAGCCATTGGCTACGATCGAAATGCAATTTAATTACTGTGATAAAAAGCTACTTACGAGTATTTATTCTGTTTTGATAAGTAGAAAAAAATTGAACATAATGAAATTTGTTTTATTTCATATCTATGGAAGTCTGAGAATTTTTATATTGTACAAGAATGTGGAAGATGGAGAAACTGACAAGTGACATTACTACTTTTGCTATATTACCTTTTTTAAAAATTTATTTGATGTATGTTTTAAACAGTATTATGGGAATATTTTGTGAGTATGAATATTTTAAAAAATCCTCTGGGAACTTAACTATGATAATTTATGGTCTCTCTATAGAATAAGTGAAGGTAACGTGATCATATATCTTTGAATTTTGAAGGAAGTGATTTTTGAGGACTTTCGTGGAAGGAAATGATAAGCTTCCAAAACTCTTGAGATATTAGAAAATAAAACTGTACGAGTCTGTAAAACGAAAGTAAATTCAGATAGTTACGCTCTCTGTGGTCTCAGTAAGAAATGCCATGGAGACTGTATTATTTGTTATTTCTTACACTGGTTAGCCCAGTTAGTAAAAGTCTCGATGTCTTACATCTTTGTTCCAAGAGATGAAATGTTAGCGCAATGACTTTTTTCTTTTCCTTGTTTTGAGCGTAATATGTTGGCTGCAGAAACAAATCTTTTAGAGATTGCATCTTCACCTTTCTAGATGAATGCTTTGCAGTTCAATTTTTTAATCCGTCCTTCTGCTCTGATAATCACTTTAGGTTGTGACCTTACCACTTGTTTCATTTTCTGTTGCATGAATTTGTCCGTAATCTAATTTTAGAGATCTGTTCTTAGGAAAGATTTATTGATCTAATGATCGTTTAGTCCCTGATTGGTTGTATTTTACACTGTTTTGACTTTTCACATCTGAATTGTCAACGACCAGCCATTCATATTGACATGTTATGCTGTAAATACTATCAACTGTAAATAAAATCAATTTTCATAAACCAGAAAATTGTTGATATGGTCGTCAATTATGTTCAAAATTTAAATTTTAAAATGTCTACTTAGATGTGTCTTGACCATATCTTCTCACTAGAATTCTGTACCTACCATGGTTACAAATACAACAGAATTTAATTACACATCAGAATAATGGTTTATGAAGAAGAAGGTTCCACTGTGATCGTAACCACCTTGGATACTGTGTTCTCAAATGTACAGAACATAATTTACAGGAAAAGGGGAGTTGTGAGAGTACAGACAACAGTGGAATAGTAGAATTATTAATTGCCAGAATACATCCAACAACCTTGACAAAATCCTTTTTGTTTCTTCTTTTCCTTTATAAGTATGATTATAATCGCCTTAGTGTGGAAACTCAAGGCAAAACTAAAGCGTATTCCAGAAATTGATGACACGAGAAAACAGAAAATAATGAGAGCCCAGTAAATTTATTGCAAAGTTCAGGGATTATTATATACGTACAGACCAATGGTCAATACTTTGTGATGAGCACAGCTATTTATTATAGACATCTATCACAAATTGTCATGCAAAACAGTTCAGTCAGAAAAAAAAACATAATGCCATTGGAACTCAAAGTACAAGTGCCTGAAAAAAAGTCCGAAATGGAAGAACAGCACTCTCATTTACTCTCAGCGCAAGTATGCCTCAAGAAATGGTCAGACTTTCAATATTTTGTTCTTCTTATCAAGCCTACTATGCAATCTAAAATCAAACCTGTTTCTCAGAAATTGAAACAATTTTCAGCTGCTATATTAATCAGGAGGCCAAACATGAAAATCATAAGGTCCAGAAAATCAATTTTTTTTTGTCTAGATCACATGTGCAACAGCCTCTTGAATTAACAAGAATTATAACAATAACAATAATAGATTGTGTTTATATAACACGTATCACTATTCAAAAGAAAGGTCTGTGCATTTTGCAATATCTTTGTCCTGAAAGGCCCTGTAACTTTCTGAAGAGGAATTCAGGGCAAAGCTCCTGCAATGTTGCAGGCATTCAAAGGGTAACAAAACAAAACCAATATTTTTATGGATAAGATCTTTTACTGTCTTAGCAGGATCCTTTTTCTCACCTGGGTGAAGTCAAAAGAATTTGTGTAAAGTGTTTTTCCCCAAGGAAAAGAATTCAAGCCCGCAGCCTTATGGTTGCAAGTCTGGAAGTCTACTAGAAAGACCATTAACAGCACAAAAATTATTAAAAGTATTTTAAGACAAGAATAATGCTTTAGGTGAATCATGACTTCAGAACATTTGAAATATTCCTTTGATCTGTTGCATTTCGGGGGGGGAGACAAACAAAAACTATACGTATACGAGCAGATATCCCAGTACTGGGTGCTTCAGAAAATTTTACAATTACGAACCCTAATCCTGCTGCTACAGCATAGTTGGTCACTGCCTTGGCTAACAAGGACATTTTTCAAGGCCAGCATGGTACAAGTACAGGAACATTTTCCCCTTATTAATAAGTGTTCCTCTTGGATAGGTCTGGGTAAAGGGAGGTTGTACCAGAAAGGAATAATAATAACAGTCAAACATAGCGCATCCTTCAGATAGTAGACAAGACTATATCAGGCATGGGTAAACTACTGTCTGCAGGCCATATTCAGCCTATGAGTTGCTGAGTAATTAATAATATAATGAATGTGACCTGTGGTGAAATGATAATTGAAAAAAAACAAAACTATCCATCTTGAAAATTAAAATGAAGTTTCCTGCCCAGCTGGAAGCAATTGATATAATACTTCATCTCATTCTTGAGTGACATGCATGTATAGAGCTTCAGTTTTAGTCTCACTTTTGACAGCTTGGGCATTTTAACTGATTTCACCCAACTTCCTCTAGCTGTTATCTGTGAAATAATCAGAATTGCCTAATCTGGCCCATGAATTGGACATGCTCGCCCATGCCTGTTCTAAGTGTTTCGCTGGGAGTAAACATTTCTATGACCTTTGTGCATCTCGTTACCAAGCAATCAATCAAGAGAGTAGGACTAAACAAACGCAAGTGAAAGAGACCCGCGACAGATGCATTTAATATCACAAGAGCTGCACTGTGAAGAATGGACGGCTCAACTGTGCTCGCATTCACATCCTCTAACGACTTATAATCAATTCAAATATCAAAATACAGTGGTCTCTGTCTAAACACACTGCATGTCAAAAACTCAGTTCCCGCAAGAACCTACTGGGTTGGTTTTTTTGACAACCAATAAAAGGGATCTAGGCAGAAACCAGTCATACAATTGCCTAATAAATCCAGCAAAACGAGAGAGAGAGAGAGAGAGAGTCCAGAACTCTTCCAGACTGGTCCTATCAAAAAGGTTTCCCCTTTTATGCAGTTATTCCCACTTCATCAATGATCAATGGTGTGGTGTTGCATTGGGCGAATTCACACATGAAAATGAATTTTTTTTTTCAACATGGGTGAATTAAATACCTCAAAGGAACCATTATGATGAGAATACAGCAAAGTAGTTCAGATGCTCTGCTGTACAAAAAGATGATAACAGATTCCAAAGCTACAAAGAAAGTTGTGAAGTTGTACAACATTACACAGCTTGCATTTGTACACAATGTATTGAGATCACATTGAAAAAAAAATAAATGAAATGTGATCTGCTCTCATCAAAGTATTCAAAGCAACAGTGTAAGAGTCTGTTCATTTGACAGAACTTTTAGCTTTTACTTTAACCACTATAATTTCACATTCACTACCACTTCATCTGCAGCAGCTTTGTGAAGTGCCATAGCAACTCAGATGCCTAACTTCCAGAGATTTCAAGACATTTTCAAACAGCTTTGTCTGTAAAAACATGTATCATGTAAGCTTATTTCAAATGCTCTTAATTTGTCAGAAATTTGTTTGAAATGGATACATAGCTTCATGTTTTCAGTCTTACGATGGTCTTCTTAGTATGTGAAATTTATTCATGGTCTTCTGAAAACAACATCATGCCTGTCAGAAGTGTCAGGTATCAAATCTGTTCAGAACCAATAGAAGATGTCATGGTAACAGATCTGACTAGGAAATATTTCTCATGTGATCAACTGATGTTAAGTTAGGGCACTTCACTTCACTGAAGGAGGAGATCAAAAATTTTTCTGATAAGACTTTAGCTTGGTAAGAATCAAATTTCTTATGTTCTATGTATGCAATATATCCTTACAGGAAAAAACAAAACAAAGAAAAGTATACATCATCAAGACAGATTTTTCATAGCAAGATACATAAGAAAATGTTGTCTCACAATTCTTGAACCAGGTTAGCATGTACAGGTTTTATAAAGACAGTACGCGATAAATAAGATCTAACAGTTCACGAAAAGTGGGAACAAGAGGTAATAAATCCATATGAAATCAGATAACAGTGCGATATCAACCATTCAGCGGGAGAACTCACTCCCCCAATAAATTTAGCCCACATACTAAGGTTATGCCACACATACAATAAGTGACTCTTGAAAGTACAAAGAAAAAGCAACCTGCATATAGACAAATAAAACAAACCACTACTGATATCACAAAAGCTATGAGCTTCTGATAACTTGCAATGTCAATAAAAGTCTTCAGAGGAACAGAATGCCTTGGTGACAAAACCTGATTTTCACAAAAACTAAACTCATCAAATTCCGCAAAATAAAAGAAACAAAGTTCTTTGTACCTGCTACTGCATACCATAAGAGCACCTTTAATTCAGTATTACTCAACACAAGTTACCAGCTGTTCTATTCTGACTTCACTCTTATCTTTTTAAAGAACAGAAAATTACAGTTTGAGTTTCAGTAAAGAGAAGCACATCCATCTAAAATCAGTCACTGTGAGCTAGGAAAAAATAAGAAACAGAAACAACATAGGGAAAGAAAAGAAGCAGGACCTATCAGTAGCATCCTCCAACCATTATTCTTGAAATTAACTAACAGATGTCAATACAGAAGTGGTATAATATTTCGGAGACTTGTTTCTTACCCTAGTTTAGTTCCTGTCACAGTAAAAGATGGTACATCAACTTCAAACATAATTCTAATAATTCGGTCACTACATGTAAGGTCACAGAAAAGTTCAAACATAGACTGTACAACATCCCACAACCCACAGCTGAAGAACGACGCTCACAGGGTCAAGGTCATGACTGGTGCCTGCTGTTGATGGAGTGTTCCAGCGCTGCCTGCTGCAGGACCGGGAGTAACAACTGGAAAGCGTCTTGGAGGTATGTGCTGCTGTTGGAGGCCTGGGGACAAAACAGTCAGTGAAAAACATTAGTTTCTGCACGCTCTCTCTCTGAAAAGGATTATTTGAGGATTTTCAAGCATGGAAGGAGTGAAAAAGGAGGGCAGAAACAACTGAGGGTAAGAAAAGAAGTAGAACCTACAAGTAGCAACCTCCAACCATCTGATCAGACAGCGTATGAAAAAATTGAATTCTATAAGCCCCACCTTGGCTGTATCGAAGACAAGTCTTGTACTTTTGCGTTCCTGAAGATGGTCTCAAACTCCAGCACATTCATCTGAATTCTATTATTTCAAAAAGATGCACAAGTAGCAACACTGTAGCTAGCTCATGTAAGTACTCTTTTACTATCAGGATTGTAAATTAAACTAAAAATGAAAAAACACACATAATTCGTCTATGTGTGTCTATTCTATTGTTTACTCAACCAATTCAACAAAAGCCTTTTCAGCGCAAAGCCCCCCTCCCCCAGCTTGGGATTGTGCGTGCATTCAATGCTCTGAAGGGTACAGGTAGCAATGTTCTGGTGTGTATTCTGGTCCATCCGTTAAAACACTGTAAAATCTTTCCCAAACAAGTTTGGCAGTCAGAAGCATGAATAAGAGTAGGCTACAGTAGTCTCCGCCTAAACGCACGGTGTTCGGGAGGGCTCCTTAGCGTGTGTTTATACGGAGCGTGTGTTTACATGAACCTTAGCAAAGGGAGGAAGGGACACAGTCATCTCATTGCCTTGATATTCTAGTTACCTCCCTTTGGGGTGGGGGGGTCGCTTTGGGATGATAATTTGACGACACGTGACGGTTTTGTAAAAGATTCCCCGACTGCGGTTAAGACTGCAAAGGCGTTGAATGAGTGTGTGTGTGGGGGGGGGGTGGAAGAAAGACAGACTTGATGTAAAGAATACACCATAAAATGTCGGGAACCAATAGCCTAAACAGAAATTGTTGGTGATAGTCATAGAGACGACAGCCCAGCCACGTAGCTTTCCAAGCGACCACCCCCGACCGTAAATTTATGAACGAGCATTCACGCGTGTTGCGCATCATAGGCTTAGGTGTAACTAAACATTAGCCAACACGCAGTCACTCAAACACCAGTCAGAAACCTTCTCTCAAAGAGATGCATTTCCAGTGACCTATCAAATAAATTATAACGTTTCAGTCCCCCAACCCCCTAACATTTCACCGACCAGTCCTAGACCTATATATATACCTGTGGAAAGTTGGGTGTGAAAATGCTGTCCATCACTCTCTTTGTTCTGCGTAAGGGGCAGTCTCGCCAAATATCCGGTTTTCTAGGCTTGTCTTATGCAAGCTGAGCAGATCGTACAGTAGACGTAGTGAAAATTTCCCTTAGTCAAGCATTAGGCCTACCTGTCGGCATTTTCGCAGATCGGAGCCTGCGTTTAGAGGGAGTGACCGTGCGTTTGTACGTCTAAATTGTATAGTAAAAAACCCGTCAGATGACGAAAGCGTGCGTTTGAGAGGAGCGTGCTTTTGTATGGCGTGCGTTTAGGCGGAGACTACTATACCATAAAAAAAAAATTTGCACATAACACAAAAACACATTTGACGGACAGCTGGTAAAAAACACTTAAAACAAATACACATTTCTGAGTTTACAAAAGTAGCAGGCTCATCTCTTACCTCTAGATAGATATTTGTGACCAGGGCTGTGATCTCATCTGAACTTTCTTCTTGCTCCTGGACAGAAAGAAAAAAGAATGTTGTGCTGAATCGATTACCTCATAAAAGACAACTGTACATTTGTCGACACTTAAAGATACAGCAATCAAGATGAACAGAAAAACAAACAGAAAAGAAATCTTTTTCAAACCCATTTCCAACAGACTTTCTACTGTTCCAAGTAGAAATTAGAGCTTACAGATCATAACATCAGCATTCTACTTCACAATGATGTTTGCACTTTTACATTCAAGCAGTTGCGCACTCAGCATTATGATGCTCCCTTACCTTTTCCTCTTTAATCCAACGCCTCAAAAAATGCTGCGCTATAGTGAACCCGCCCCAATCCTGACACCGTACTTGTTTCTCAAACTGGATTTCCTCAGTGGAAGACATGATGACTATTATAAAAATAAATTTATGACATTTAGTTGAGGAGTTGCTTTCATTGCTAGTAAGGAAAGAGTGTGGGAGCTGATGGAAGCATTCAGCCTTTACTTTCACTGCCGTTAAGTGCAAAAGAATGAAAACATTTTAATGTTGCTTAGTTCATAACAAGTCCAATAAAAGGGCACTCATTACTGTTAGCCACGAAGGTGAAGCAGAGTTAATACAACAACCTGCCATCAGCAAAAGAAACTTACGGCCATCTTGTTGAGACATCCGGCAAACTTGGTGGCCATGTTTCCTACTTCATGACACAGGACGCCTGTCAGTCTGGAAGAGAACGTAAGGCGAGTTCAGTTTCAATTTGAGTAAAGACAAGCACATCGACACAATAACCGTCATTTAGTGCAGGGAAAAAGCAAAATACACAGACAGAAACAGAGGGGCAAAAGTAGGACCTACCAACGGCACCCTCCAACACTCACCAGCTGTTTCAAAAACACCATTGTGCAAGACCAGTCAAGAAAGTAAATAGAAAAACAAACCCAAAAGAAAAACCAATTTTGAAAAAAATATGAACCAGCTAAAGAAGTAAGTTATGCAACATCAAACATATTGGGTGAACAGGAAAGAGTTAACAAAAAGCAAGACTCACCTGGCTAGACTGTGAGCCCTCTCAGTACAGTCTTTGTCCGTGTCTCTCTCCAACAACACTAGCTCTCCGGCCTTGTGGAATTGTTCCACACCCTTTGAGGTCAGCTCTGCCAGAGACTGGATGCTGCGCTGGTGCACGTTCTATACATCAAAGGAGAGAGAGAAATGGAAGACTCAACAGTCAGACCAAAGCAGAAACATACAGCACTTGGTGCATTTATTTTCAGTATAGCTCATTTAAAAAACGAACAAAAAAAACCACATGAAAACCAATACTCATGTCCCAGATGATAAAAATCAGGAAAAAGAAACTTCACAAAAAAAGCCCCCCTCCCATCCAAAAAAAACCCATAACAACTACATTTCTCTCAGAAAAGAACTTGAAGGACAATAGCAAAAAAAAAAATAGTTGAAGACACATACCACATCAAAAGCACCCACCAAACACTAGCATGGTATGGTAGAGAGAAGCGTGTTGACATGATCACTGTCATTTAGGGCATGGAAAAAACAAAGAGATACAAAGAAACAGCAGGAAGAAAGAAAAGTAGGACCTGCAGGTGGAATCCTCTAATCACATTTCCAACAGTCAGAATGGAGCAGAAACATGGTACATTACAAGTATCATGTCCTCATTGAGAAAAATAAAAGAGACATCTAAACAGCAGAACAGAGCAGAAACACGAAGCAGCAGAAATCCTGTTATGTCTTCATCAATGAAAGAAGAAATTGGAGACAAACAATTTTTTTAAAAAGGAGGACATACGTCTGCATACGTGATGATGTCTTAGGCGCAAATAACGCAAGATCACTAACCTTGACACTCTCTGAATCATGACTCTCGTTGGCATCAAAGTCCACAATCCACTGTTTGACCATCTCATGGACCTTATTCAGTTTGTCCGGAGCTGTCCCCAGCTCTAGCTCAGACAAATGTTGACTCACAAGGCTCGTGAAATCCTGGTCCTTAGCTGCCAGATCTGAAAATTGTTTATGTAATAACTGTAATGTTTTACACCAAAACAACTTAGATCATTTAAGAGGTGGGCTGCTTCAACCCTGCTTTTCAAGGCCAACCAACAGTGAGCAACAGCAAAAAGCATAGCATAAGTGCCACTCCACAGAAACTGGTTAGATGAGAAGTGAGAAAAGCAAATATTTCTTATAATATATTGCAAACTAATGCTTGTACGTGTATTTTGTGATGCAGAAGCTGGTGAAAAGCACACAGTCAATTTCTTTCATTGAAGGACCAGTGAAGAATATCTTATCTATCTGAAGCCAACCCATAGAAATTCAAATATCTGCAACTGCTTGTGTATTTCTTTGTTCCTTTTTCACTTTTCGTTGTGCTCCTTATTCTCAGCAAAAAAATCTCCAAAAGTTATAAGGAGTATTTCAGACCTTACAGTCAGAGCTGCTTCCAGCATTCCATGTCAGTGTTGGACACTTTAAATAAAAATTACTGTTACATGTTATGAATAGAAATCAGTGTTATATGTTAAGAACAGAGATTAAATTTTACACTTTTTAACAATCTCAAACAAGAATCCCCCCCCCCCCCACACACACACATACACACACACACTACCACAAACTAGTTTTACACCAAATCTTTATATTAATCAGCTTGAGAGAACTCACCTGCATCATCATCATCATCCTCATTCACCTCAAAAGCCTCTTTGATTGCGATGAGCACGGGCTTGATGGCTGTCAGATCCTCCGAGGCCAGAGAGTTAAGCAGAGAGTGAACCTTCTTCTCACTCTGGTTCGACAACATCTCCAGGGCTTCCAAGTGAGCGATGCCTGAGGAAATACAAGCACATTGACACAACGACTATTTAGAGCAGGGGAAAAACAAAATACAGACAGAACCAGATGGACAGAAAACAAATAAGTAAGACCTTCTTGAGAACCTGAGAGTGACAGAGTGTGAGCGAGAGTAAAGAGAAGCAAAATCACACAATAATGGACATTTAGCGCAGGGACAAAAAAATGGACAGACAGACACACAGAGACAACAGAAGGAATAATATGAAATAGGACCTGCCAGTAGTTTTCTCCAACCACACGCCTCTACCATATCTTTGAAATTCTCTTTAACCAAGTCCTTAAATGTTTTTAAAAAACCTTCAACCCTGTAGGTATACTATACACAGCCCCAAAATCCTACCTTGATAATCATCAAACAAAGTTCCAAAGTGTGCCTTCCTCGCCTCCTCATTCTCTTTCTCTTGCTCTGCCTGTATCTCGGCCTGATCCTTCGCCTCCCGCAGAACACTGGACAGGTTTGGCTTATCTGCTTTAGGACTAAGGAATTCTCTCGTCTTCCGCAGGGCAGGGTCGTGTTCTGAGAGAGTGCTGTACGTTTTCTTGCCGATAGTCTCCAAAACATCGATGCCTCCAGCCGCCAAGTTCTCCACTGCGTCAAAACCCTCTGACATCAACGTCTGACCTTTTGTAGCCAATGTTTTCCCCTGAAATAAATAGAATGACATTCCATTAACTTTTTGTCACTCGGAGGCGCCGATGTGCGCCGTCACCGCTAACCCCCCTAGTTGCCGATGTGCGCCGACACACTCACTCGATTCACCCGTTTGCACTACTTTCATTTCTACGTTGTCTCGCTTCCTGCGAGATCGCACGAGATTGCCGAGCTTATAGCGAGAATCTAGAGTGTTTGACCTTTACTGTCGTGTTTATTTGGTGAAAATCGATCGAAGCACGCGAGAGCGGCGATTTTTTAAATTTCGTGCTTTTTAGAGACCTAAATCTAACTTAGTGGACGAAACTTTGCGTCGCTACAGGCACTGTATATGATGGAGACACTTATAATTGGGATTTAAGTGCCGATATCGTCGACCAAGGGGCTAGATCTAGTGCTAGTAGTGCAAGTAGTCACTAGGACACTCAGTCGTAAGAGAGAGAGAGAGAGAACTATAGTAGGAGAGCGAACACGATGTCACAGTCACAGGTCTAGATCTAGGCTCTAGGGGAGGGGAACAACTATGATAGTGATGTTGATGGTGAGATCGTAGCTGGAGGTGATGATTTAGAAGACTCTGATGAAGAAGATAGGCCTAGCACCCACAGCACTTTAGCTAGATCTAGTACTACTTGCTGCACTACGACATAAAAAAGGGAGGAGCAGCACTGGGACTGTGGGCGCTGTCACAACAAATCCTTTAGAGCATGTTGTGATCAGGATACATGGTAAAAAGGGGTCGTGCCACTACTGTGTAAAGACCAGAAACTTTACAAAGCTTGGCAGAGGGAGTGAGACAGTGACGGAATGCAATTTGGGCCAGATTAGGCTTTGCAAAAGACTGTGCTGGGTAAAACATCATGAACTTCTGCGGGCATAAAAAGCGGGTTGTGTCTTTTGGGGTTTTTCTTTCACTTCAGAATTTCTTTTTACCTTATACACAATGATTTTTCATACAAAACGATACATTTTCTTGAAGTTTATTCATTCATCTGTGCTCTGACACCTAAACTGTAATTTTAGACACATCCTTTGATTTTTTATGATTTTTAAAAACAATATAGTCATGCAGTCTAAGCGGAGTTAGGTCCCTTTTGCCAGAATTTCAGTCTTGTTGGCCAGGGATAGCTCTGAGGGTCAAAGGGTTAACTAACTCAACTTCATATAGTTTGAGTAAAAAAAAGCGCATTGACACCCAACAGTGTAGAGGGAAAAGATAGAAAGAAATGAACAAAAGCAGGATAGAAAAGACAAATGAAACAGTGGCGTCCTCTAACCACCTACTGACTAACAAAAGCAGATATAACTGTTCACTGCTTGAAATCAAAGATACTTCAAAGGAACAAACAAACAATAAAAGCCACAAAGTGACCTAATTTGACTCCATATGGCAATCCTATGAAGAAAAACGAAGAACAAATAATAAGTTACAGACTGATTAGACATGAGGCAAAGAAGTAGCAAAGCTTTTAGATACTTTTTTTTTAAAACCTTAAATCTGCAAGTTAAATCATAAGGCCACTAGATAATAAATATTGATAAAGAGAAAGCAACTTTTGTATTTCACCTTCATCTAAAATATCTAACTTAGCAACTTATCAGATGTTTACGCACCCAAAATACACATCCTCCAATCATTTATATCATAGCATGAAATCTCCACATGGGTAAAAGCTACGGGGAGAGCTTATTAATCCTGCAAACAATAGGAGGCTCACCGTGTCTTGGACTTTCTTAGCCAGATCAGCCACACCCCAGCTTGAGAACCAGCTATTGCCACTGCTGGATTCAGCCTCTTTTTGTTCCTCTGGTTTCTCCTCAGATTTTTCTTTGACATCTTTATCCGGTACCCTTTTATCCATAGCACTTGATTTCTGACCTTCAGAAGATTTTTCTTGAGGAGGGTGAGTGTCTGGTTGGAGAGTGACAGAAGATAGGAGAGTCAGAAGCAAGAACATGTTACTCGAGCTAAGAGAAAAACCATGACTAGAGACACAAGATGATGGTTGAACCAGCTTAAAAACATTATGAACTTCAAGGATTGTGTTGAAACTTGCTTAGAGATGTATTTTTACAACTCAAAATGTTGAAATTTGTAACAATGACTCTATGAAAATATCCTTCTCTCTCTTTCCATGCTCCGCCCTCTTGAATTAAAATAAAAAATCCCCAAAACACTCATGAGATTTATGGCTCTTGCAGGACTGAGGGACATATGACTAAAGTCAAACTTGCTCACATTGCCTCCTGTACACAACAATCACCTGTACAAGCAACCACTTCCCCCCTTGCGTTTAAAAGAAATATTATAATAATACTATCCTAGACATCCTCTTGTCTTTGACAACCACTTTTCTTCTTGACAATCGGTGGCCATCTTGGACAATTTCAACCATATTTTTAATATCTGTGCACAACAGTAAGCTAAAATCAAAATAAAGAACAACTCCCTTTCAAGTCTAGCGCTCATCATCACTTTACACCACTTGAACAGATTCCAACAGGCTGATAGGAGAGTCAAATTTAGTTGTTTTCTTGGCCTCTATACTTTCATCCCCTTTTTCCTTTCCCCTGTTCCTTTAAATCTCTGTTACTTTTCTTCATTTCCTTCTCATCAAACAATCTCAGGCTTTCCCGCAGCCTTCTCTTTTCCCTTTTTTTCGCCTGGCTACTCTTACTCATTTCTCCACCAGCAGTCACATACGTAAGCTTTCCCTCAGCCTTTCTCTTCTCCCTGCCCTGGCTACACCTACCCTTCTCCCCGTCAGCAGACGCAGACTTTCCCTCATCTTCGGGTTCCTTCACTTCCTTAGCCTGAGCCAACTCGCCAGGATCTGGCACACCAAGGGATGACTCCATCGTGTCGATGATTGTGGTGAATCCATCGCCTGGGAAAGTGAGAGTAATGAGAATACTTACTGAAATCTTTAGACAAGTCATTTCAATCCTTATTTATTCTATTTTCGATACGGAATATTCTCCTATGCAAATGCATTGGTCGTAGTCAGACACTGGCAGGTAAACTATTATTATTACATACCAGTGTCATTCATCTGGTATGAATTCAAAGAAAAAGCAAAATGGAAACTAAACCGCATATTACAAGCGAAGATCTTGCTATTAAAAAATCTTACTTTCTCAGCTTCAGGTTAAGTCGTAATAAAGATACTCATACTGAAACAATGACCGTCATTCAGTGCAGGGAAAAGCTAAGACAGACAGACAGAAAAAAACAACGTAGGGAAAGAAAATAAGTAAAATTTAAAAATAGTGCTTTCCATCCACCGACATTCCATAGTTAAAAAATATAAAATATAATAAAATGGAATCGGTGATTCATTCTTCTTACACTATATGTTGCTTAAGTTTTTGCTCTTACGTAGTAAAAAGGATCTTTCAGCTGGGTGACACTTTAAGAGAGCCAAAGGACACAAATAGACAGGGTAGGGGAAAAGGGGGAGGGGGGGGTTTGCTAATTTATCCATAATGCAAAATAAGGGTGAAAGTACGTTGTAATTTTATTACTATTTTATGCCCCCTTTGACACAATTTACATCAGTCCAAAAGCAAGAGCCTTGACTGTCTGTAAGGGCCAAGCCAGGCTGGGTTGGAGTATAACATCCCAGCAGACAGGCAAAGATAGTCAATCAAACACTTCCCCACACGGAACTGAACACGTCTTTTGGTCGTTACAGGGAAGAATCCGATTATAAAAATCACAGAAAAAAGAAAAGAAATACAAAAATACCATCTCAAAACAAAGTTCTCCACATACCCACTTGGGTGGTGAACGTCTGGACAGAGGAAGATGCGGCAGACAGGATGGAAGTTCCCCAGCTACCCCAGCCCCAACCACCAGAACTCTGAAAGGATGACACAAAATGCAATGTAAAAATTTATACAAACATTCAGAAAATATGTTTAAAACCAAGTAAACATGGTCTAATGGTTAAGCTATTGGGCTCAGCTTTAAGACTCACAACTGAAATGTTGTGGGTTCGTATCCCGTTAGGGGCCTGACATTGTGTCCAAGGGAAAAGCACTTTACACATATTTTCCTAACTTCACCCAGGTGAGAATGGGTGTCCCGCTATAGACAGCAGAAGATTTTGTCAGTCTGTGAGCGCTTAATCAACAGCTTGCTTAGGATGCTTCTCAGGATGCGAGAATGTTTCTGAGTATTGTAAGGTCTGCAGAGGTAATAATAATTATAAAGTGCATACAGCATGCTAATGAGTGTGGATATTCATTACATAAACGCAAAATATTATTACCAATTATATTCAAATTTTGCAAGATGATCACCCATTGTCAAGGAGAAAAGAGGTCATATTAGCCAGGTGGCTCTCTTGGATGGTGTCATTATAAAATTGAATTTTAAAAAATAAAAAGGGGAACTGGAAAGTGGTCGTTTGTACAGGTGGCTGTCTTGAACAGGTGATTATTAAAGCAGGGTCAACAGTATTAATCTATTATGTTTGTTTGATTAGAGAGAAGCACATTAACACAATACTGGTCATTTAGAGCTGGGGTAAAACAATACAGACTGGAACAGATATAAGAGGGACAGCAAAGAAGTTTGTCACCAGGCCAGCCAGCCACGAAAGCCTACAACACCAAGCATCCAGGCTATAAAGGAAAAGCAAAGCCACGCAAAAGGTGGTTCAAGGGTGTCAAGGAAACCCTGAGAAAACATAATATCACAACTGAAAGAGCCGCGGAGCTGGCCTACCATAGAAAATTTCATCTCCCCTCGACGCTTAACGGCAACAGAGGATGAAAAAGTAAAAGTAAAAGTAAGTAAGCAAAGAAGTAGGACCTAAAAGTGTTCCCCTCTAACCATCCCCCTTTTTCAGACTTAAAGAAGTTAAAACCCTTGGCGAAATGAAAGAAACAAAAAGCATACCCTGTTGCCAGAGTATTAAGTAGATATAGAAAAATGAATTATCACAGTTTATCGTAACAGTTTAAGGCCCAAACAGACACAATTTTGATAAATTAGGAGGCAGGCTGCTCTGAACCTATCCATCAGGGCCATCCCGAGCTGAGAGAAACACAAAATCCTAACAGACAAATACAGATACTCCTCGAAGGAATTAAAATCATATTTTCAGAGCGAAACAGCAAACATCTTAACCATTACACCACAGATCATTAGGGCTGTACCCCGGTAGCAAACGCGCTCGTGCTCGTAAGCCCCTAGTTCAAGTCACAAGCCTCAAATCACTAGGTCAAATCATCAAATCATATCACCAGCATGATACGTTGAGTCTAGCCTAAGCTTCAAGTACCCACACCAACTTGCAATCCGCGAAGCCACTCGTGTCTGACCCCCTCTTCCTTCCTCTCCCTGCTTGCAATCCGCGAAACCACTAACGTCAGAAAGAGAGAGAGGGGGAGAGAGAGAGACCCCGCGCACAATGTCACTGCGCCACAAACTAGTCTGTTCGATTAATCGAAGGCATACGAGCAGCGGACGGCAGGCAAGACTCAAATCGCAGCAGAGCAAAGCACTTGGTCCCAAGACCTGCTTTGCGTCTCGTATTGCTTTGTGCTAAAGGCTTGCTCTCGTGCCAATAAATCTGCTTTGAGTCCAACTACCGCCCTGGCAGTACAACACCGCTCGTCAGTACAACACCGCTCGTCAGGCAAACACCGCTTGTCAGGCAAACACCGCTCGTCTGCACCAGGCCGCAAGATCTACCGGTAATCCACCCCGCTCGCGGCGTGAACTCTGAACTCTGGACATGGAGGAAGCAAGAGGCTGCGCTGGTTTTGGTGCAAGGCGAAGAGGGCTGTAATAGTCTAGTGCAGACCGTTCGCGACCTCGGTGCTTTAACAGTGAAAATGTGACATCTTCGTAGGCTCACATTTTGTTATGAGCTGTTTTCACTGGTATTAAAAATGGAGATACGACAAGAAAGCACTGGGGTCGCGGTATGCTAAACTATTTAGGATGCAGAATAAAGGAGTGAACACTTACAAACAATTTTTAACTGACAAAATAAATCAGTATTGTTAGCATTCCGTGGCTTGTAATTTAATCACTCGCCTAAACTACACTTCCACTCCCACCCCGACACTTAGAACAAGTTGAAGTTGAAGAGAAAGCATTGGGGAGGGGATGACAATCGTGATTTTGTTTCTGAACAATGTAAAAAAATTTTGATTTGACTGCTTCCCTATCAGAAGATCATTGTTAAGGTTAATTATATCACATTGTTAATTACATTGTAGGCCTATAACTTTTTTAAAATACATCTTGCTGCACTGTAACTGATAGTATGTATGTATTGTGCATGTTCTATCATACAAATATTAATTATGATGTTGAATTACGCCCAGAAAATCAATAAAGCAAAACATAATCCTTCCCCCCACCAAAATTTTTTTTTTTCAAATCAACAAAAACAACCAAAAAAACAAGACAAATAAAACCCTGTCACACCAGGAGGCATAAGGGGAGGGGCGGGTTCTACGGAAAGTGAGGGGTGGCGAACACCTCTTGCTTTCCCAGCCATACCACCCCCTCCCCTCCCCAAACAGCGCCATCGCTGGAAGTGTAGATCTAAGGGTTTTTTAGGGCTTGTCAGTGTGCGGCACGCGGGCAGAAGTATCGCACGCTCAGTAAACAAGAGTTTGTGACGTCACGACACAAATCAGTAAGCCCGTCTGCCGTCCACGAGTAGCAACTCCGGTAGCGGGCAAAGCTCAAGCCTGCTCGCAAGCCTCTGGCACGAGCCGTCCGTTGCTCGCAAGCCTTCGATTAATCGAGCAGACTCCAGCCCTACAGATCATGATTGATACAAATAATGCAAATCAAAATTTTTATAGAAAAAAGAATTTCGAACAGCCACAATTACCTTTTCAGCCGACTCATCCTGCTTGGGTGTAGCCTGGTCTTTCAGCTCACGTGGAATATCCTGACCTTCTGGAGACGACATCTCAGCCCCCAATCCCTTCCTCACCTCCCCTGCCTGGACAGTCTTCTGATTATCTACAGACTCTTTCTCTGCAGACCTTTCTTTCTTGGGTGTTGTCGTCCCAGGCTCATTGTCGCTTTGTACTACTTCAGCAGATTTTGACGGGCTGACTGTGGAGTCTGATTTTGAAGCTGTCTTATCCTCCCCTGCACTTTTATCTCCTTTCCCTTTCTCCTTGTCTTGACTACTCTTACTCGTATCTGACTTTGCCTGTGGTACAGACTGCTCTTTTTCAGTGGCTTCTGTTTTCGGAGTAACATCTTCATCAGATTTGCTCTGCTTCACAGCAGTTTGAGGGACATCACTAGCTTTTTTCTCATCTGACTCGGTCTTTGAATCCTCCTTGGGTGAAGGCTGGCTACTGGCTTTTCCTTTTTTCTTTCCTTTTTGTTGCTGTTGTCTACCCTTGCCCTTCTTGGTTTGTTCACCTTTACCAGCAGTCGCAGAATCCCCGCTAGAGGTCTTTGTTGTGGCAGTGGCACCCCCTGCCCCAGGTTGTGCAGCTCCTTTGGTATTAGCCTTTTCCTTTTTGCCCGAAGCAGCAGAAGCTGAAAAATATGAAATGTAAGTTAATCAACTGACTCAAATTCTCTGGGAAAACACACACTATTGGTTTCGAGATGCGAATGGTTGGGGGCTTGGGGGAAAGGGGGCATGTGTCAGTTACATCCTACTTGCATACTGCCGTCAGCAATTTCTGTCTGTTCCTTTTGCTTTATCAAAGAACCTTGTTGAATATGTTTCTTTTTACTGAAACAAAACACAGGGGAAGATAGAAGGGATGTTTTTTTCCTTCATAATACCGATAACATACAATTTTGTCCGGGTTTGTTCTCTTGAGGAAATTTTGATCTATGGTGTTTTGCCAAAAACATCATATTTAGATGGAATGTCATAGAATTAGTATAATCAAACACTAAAAGATCTTCACACTTTTAAAAAACTTGTACTCTGACCATTTTCTTTTTCACAAGTCTGGAATTCATGATTTGAGTCTCCTAGTGTTGCGGGTTCCAATGCAGTAGAATCCCTTTTGATATTTTGCGAGCAACTTAATTCGCGAATTTCTTCAAAAATTGTTAGTGTTATTTTAGTCATGGACCCACCTCCCGCTCAGATATTCTAAAGCACTTTTTAAACTCATTTTTATCTTCTCTACACGCATTTCGACTTTATATTCACTGTAAATTGTCAGTTTATGAGATGTATGGATATTTTATTATGAGCTATAGACTATAGGCCTATTATAATAGGACCAATTGTGATGTAATATTTGACTTGTTTATAACAACATGGGGGGTGTCAGGGGGGCATGCCCCGACCTTAAAAAAATTGGGGGGGGGAGGGATGTCCCAGTATTTCACCATAATTTGATGTTTTGCAATTAGGTTTGATATTTTCTTGAAAAAAAAATTATTTGCAAGGGTTTTAGTGGCCATGTTTTGCATCAAAAATTAGCCTAAAGCAGTATAGCCCCCAAAACAGTGTATCTTACAGGACTAAAAGTAAAAATGTTCTAAATTGTGAATTCAAGTTGCACCCCAAAATAACCTGGTATTAGTCAAGTGCTCTCCAAAATAAAATTAAATTAAAATGGCTTGCTAAATAGTGCTCCACAATTTGATTACTGATTACACTCACACAGAAGACTGAGAATGAGAGAATCGAGCAAGCATGGTTAGAATCTAGATAGATCTAGTTGTTTCTAATTGTTTCTAAAAAATCCACACGAAAGAACTGCTCTGATTTTTTTCTAAGACATTTTAATCTAAAAGATGTATGCTACGGTAAGAGAAAGCTAAAAAAAAACACGTGACAAACAACATCTAGAGTACTGATCGGGCACCTCGGCCGTCCAGACAAGTCGGCCAACCGTCTAAACAGTGATGTTCCAACACATTTTAAAGCTAATCTTCATTAGATATCATGTTAATTTTCACGCGTTTTGTTTCCCTTTCATCCGTTTTCATTGAATTTTTGCGACAGAGCCAGTTGAACCGGAAGTATGTCTACCATTTTTCAACGTCTCCACATGAACTATCATACTCATAAGGTCATAGACATGCGCAGATGCATATGTGACATGACCTGGGACGGAGGGGAGAGGAGTTTTTGTCTATTTTGGGAATGAGGGGAAGCCCTTCTTGCAAGAAGTGATGTGGGGGGTGGGGGGTGGGGGGACTCAACCTGATTAAAAATATTAAGTGTCCAGGTTGTTCGGCATGGGTTGGCCGAGCCTTGAGAACGCAGTTCGTGCATATATCGCCCACATGCACAATATGTTTTTAAAAGTTTAAAGTTTCTTTTTATTTGACAGAAAGGTGTAACATGGATTTCATAATTTGAATGAGTGGTTTTGGGGGTGATTGGGGTGAGACTGAGTACAAGTGAATGGGGGAAATATTTTTTGAATTAATTTTTGTAATTACATTTTCTTCTTCACCTCAACCTTCCACCTCAGCTGAGTACCCTCCTTCCACATCTTCTTCACCTCAACCTTCCACCTCTGGTAATGACATACATACATTCTTTGACCTCATCCTTCATGTTCTGGTGCGGAAAGGACGAGTTTTGAGAAAGGCTGCCAAATACCGCTTTAATCAGTGAAGAAACACTATATATATATATTAAAAGAAATGGAAGAAGTTAAGCTGAGTGAGGAGAGGATGTTAATGAAGAAAAGAAAGCAGCTAATGAAGAGAAGAGAAAAGAGAAAAGAAGAAGAAAAGAAAACATGCAGAAAAAAGCAAGGAAAGACAGGAAAAGAAAAAGCAAGCTGTGGAGAGCAGGGGGTAAATATTTACTTTCACTCCCGCACACAGATGCACTGCTTTGGGGGTCAAACTGCAATACTGTTTGCTGCAGATCACACATAACGCCACTAAAACTGTCGCAAAACCAATCGTTTTCAAGAAAATTTCAAATCTAACTGAAAAATATCATATCATAGGTTAAACAGGGGGGCATGCCCCCCTGTAACCCCCTGACTGGTCCAAAGCACGTCTGTCTCTATTAAGAACAATCAGATATTTCAAAAACTATTAACTTGCGATGGAAATAAAGTTGATATTCGTATTCAGCGCATCAATATTTAGTAGAAAATGGACAACTGGTAGCTAAGTGTGAGACAGAAGGGAAAGTAAAAAAATACAGGGCAGAGAAAAGAAGGATGAAAATTAGAAAAAAAGAGTTAGAGAGGTAAAGGAAAGGGGAAGGCTGCATAACGTTTAAGTTTGAGGTTTGAGGTAAATTATATATATGAGCAATTGCCAAAATGTGAGACTCTCTTGAGACTCAGTGGTGCAAAAAAAATGTTCTTACCAATTTGACTCCCTTTTCTGTCAGTCACAGATTGACATTTAGTGCTCATATTCCTAGAGTATCAGAGCAAGGAGATGTAGGGTTTTGGAGATATGGGTCTATTGGTTAGGCAACCACTGTATTTCTTGTATGTAACAGTGATGACAAAAACAGATAAGCAGTAAGGCAAATTATGGACTTAAAATTTCATTTGTTTAGTAAATAAAAACTTTGTACACTATGAACTCCATTCATAATGGTAATATAAATGACAAGAATTGTAACAATGACGCAGTGCACAGAACATGTCATCATTGTTATGTACAAGAAAGGACACACATTGGACATTATCATTGACAACACATCACAATAGTGAAAGACTGTACAAATACAGTAATCAAAGCCTCAGTACCAGAAAAACACATGTGTAAAACAATTTTTAAACTAATATGAGGCAAAAGCACAAAATCAATGGAGCTGACTTGTACATACAGTGATGACAAACATGACTTGTACATATAACAATGATGACAATGTATAGGAAAAGACAAAGTCATGCCTCCAGGTAGAAATGCGCACTCTAAGAATAAAAAAACCCAGAAGAGGTTTCTTTTGCTTTGAAACAGATATCAGGTCATATCAAAGACAGTGGACGATCACAACTATGTGGCTAATTATGACAAACAGTACTCGTACATAACAGTGATAACAAAACATACTGGGAACAGGTAAAATCATGCCTACAAAGAACAAATTTGCACTAAGAGATACACAGATCAATAAAGGCGTATTTTGCTTCTAAATGAATCTTGCATGTATGAAATATATGTTGAAAATTTATTGATATTTGCAATTATAACAAATATTACTTGTACATAACAATGATGACACAATGACACAATGTATTGGAAAAAGGCATATATCATGCCATTAAAGAACAAATGTGTATTTTTGAGTTAGACAGACAAACAAGGACATGTTTGTTTATTTGTTTGAGTAAAGAGAGCACACATGACTTTAAAAATGTTTGCTCTTAGGACAATGTAATTTCTAGTACGTCAGTCAGTCTTGTACGGCTGCACAACGATACCCCAAACGTCATCACTAAGCACAAAAGCTAAATCTATAACCACAGAAATGACCCATCTCTCGAAATTAGTTCACACATCACACTCTTGTTCCAGGAATCCAGTGTAAACACCGCAATTTCACTAAATATTCAACAGAGTAGCCTAAAAACACGCAAAACAGTCCAGTACGTCTCATTCAACGCAAGATTCTTGAGCGTCACCGGATGCTGAAGGCAATGACTACTTTCGTTTTTCTGTTTCCCCCGTTGCTTCTGTTGTTCTGGGGAAGCGGGTAAGGGGAAGTCACTCAAGAAAACAATTATATCCGGGCACTGTTGATGACCCGTTCAAAACAAAAGTGGGCTGAAATTCAGACTTCTGGCACGTCGCAAGGTGACGACAATCACGGCGAATGTTAAACAGCTGACCGAAATCGTAGATCTAGGAACCCGATGTTCCTTTCGCGCATCGCACTTTTGAAGTATTGAATAAACGACGAAAAGCAAAAAGATTTAACCAGCTACGGTGATTCTATTGAAAAATAATGCTGTTTTCTGAAACACCTAGTCCATGACGACACGACTGACGCACACGTGATCCGAATTGTTCCTTTATTTACAAACAAATAAACCGATTTCTGAGCAAGTTAACCTTTCTCGATGACAAATAGCATAGGATCAAAGCACATGTAAAAAAAAAACACCCAAAAATACTAAATTTTAGACATTCTTGGAAGTTTGCATTGGTGTGCTAAAAATGACAGTCCAAGAATCACAAAGAAACAAACATTTTTGGCACAAAATTTACAAACTCAAGATTGTAAAGCTGACATGGGGTCTGAAACTGCTAATGCAGGTTCTACATCCTATATATTTGACATGTGTATAAGTTTTGGAGGAATAAATACTAGATTTACTGCATCACATTTTATGCACACTAATGTGAAATGTGTGTGTTTTTCCCCACGTTTTGTCATTGTAGCAATGCCAATCTGGCTTTCCCGCGCGGCGAAATTTGGTCCCCGTTTGCGGGCGATTTTGCGGACCCGGCCGAAGCGTAGGTGACTAACTTTGTCAACCTCGGTGTGCTCTATTTCCGAACCAATCCGAATGAAACTCGGCAACCAATCAGAAAATAGGGCAAACTAATGATATGTGGACGTTGAAGTTCGTACACATAAATTAACCTATACTTTTGGTGTCGGGAACATTTTCGTATCGTGTTCACCGAAAACTATAAGGAGTTTGAATTTCAACGCCGAGATGGTAATAGATCTATCTATCCTCTATAGTGTGTTCAAATTTGAACGTTCTATGTCAAGTAGTTGTTTAGACCCGATCATAAGTGCACGACTACCCCCCTATCCATAGCGGCTTCGCACGGAGACCGGCCATTTTGCCCTCACTCTCGCGGCAAATGTATGTGACCTAAAAATCCCCACACGACTATTCCGCGCCCATTCATTGGTCACTTGAAATAGGGCAATGGCGGACGCACGCATCCGGTTGTCTTTCTCTCTATTCCCCTGTAATATCGCAACCGCAATGGGGGTATTCCGAGGCAAGGTTATCTCGTCTCGGGGTGTTCGCGTCTCAACGGGGAAAAAGAATTTTTAATTGTACGGCATGCTAGATTGAATTAACTTATCTTTTATGGTTGGCATGGTCTAAAGTCATCATAAAAAGCTTTGCAATTATTTAGTCACGCTGCCGACATATATTCTTAAAGATCCCATGTTGTGATACGATGCTATAAATAAAATGGACTCATCCCGACACCCCTTTTTCGCAAAGTCGTAATATGTACACCAAAATAACTCTAGTAAATTTGACTGCAGAAATGATTTCTACACCCAATAACACATCGGGTAGCCAAGTTTCTGTCCAACACTCCGATTAGTTACTGAGATATCGTCGATTTTCTTACAGAATCTGCTACTGCGTGGTCCATTTTTTAGGAGTGTTTTCCTATATGTGGGTCATCCATATTTTGCCGACCTTTACAACCCCATAACTTTTTTAATGAACCGATTCTTAAAATTCAAGAAGCCTAATTCTTAGAATTGAAAATTCTTTCTTAGGTACCAAATAAAAAGGACACCTCTATTCTCACCCGGAGTGAGAATAGTGCAGGCGAGTCTTGTGGCTATTCTCACCCGGTGCGCGTTCACCAATGAGGAGTCTGATGTGAATGTGAGTGATGTCTGTCCCGGAGAGAAGCTTGTAAGATAGGTTAAGATACGTCTTCATTGGCCTGAGCCTGCTACGTAGATTTTGTGTTTCAGCACGTAGAGAGAGAGAGAAAGAGACGCACAGAGGATAGTAGCGCGAGAATTTCCTGGCAAAACAAAATTTCAAAATGGCGACCCGCGTAGTTCGCCTCAATTCGAAAAGTTAAATAGCCGTAGCATCTTTGTAGACAACCAAATTAATTTACTTTTGTGTTTTAACATCATTTTTAACTTTGTTTTGGTCAATTTGATCGTCCACACCGATAGACAGTATTCAGAAAGAGACAGAGAGAGAGAAGAGGGGAGGAGTTGATCTTGCGAGAACTTCCGGGCGGGTGAGAATAGCCACTTTCTTTTTAAAGGGCTAAAGTGAAAATTTAAATTTTCATTGGCATTGCTAGGCAATGGCTCATACATCATATATAGAATCTAGATCTAGACTTCTAGATCTAGATCTAGCAGTGAGAGCGAGAGTGAGGGTGAAGCAAAATTTTTATGAACAATCAGATTCAGATTTGAAGAATGAGGAGTCTGATGTGAATGTGAGTGATGTCTGTCCCGGAGAGAAGCTTGTAAGATAGGTTAAGATACGTCTTCATTGGCCTGATCCTGGCACGTTGATTTGGTGTTTCAGCACGTACACACATACACACAGACACGCACAAAGTATAAGAATCTCTAGGCCTTGGCCTACCTGCTGGCAGCGCTGGTTTGTTTACTTCCTCTCCTTCATCAGCACTGGCAAACGCTGCCTCATCCTCTGAGTCTGACATAGCTATGCGCTCAGACTACGTTTTTCTTTATGAACAATCGTCTTGTCTGCAAATCATCTACATTAGGAAATCAAACCCCAAATATCCAGTTTATTTACTCAGGCAATAAATTTATTAAAAGGGTTGTTTTGTTTTCAATTCCACGTCAACTTTATCGTCATCACGAACTGGCGAACTGGTTCACACATCTATTTCATTGATTATTTTGTACTGCATTCGTGGTACTATGGCAGTTAGTAGTGTGTCTTTTATTGTCCAACACATTATTGTCCAATCTCTGGACCATCGCACAAGTGCGCGAAGTCTTTCTCATCCATTTTACTTTATTTCACTTTACGTATGGGGCAATCGCCCTGTTTTGTGAGTATTAGTATTTGAATTAAATATTATGGGTCATTATCTGCTAAGACCCAAAATACTTATGAAACACTAAGTCAACTTTGTGTGGTTTTGTTTGTTTGTTTAGTATAGGGTTTTACGGCGCTCGCAACTGCATAAGGTCATATGAGCGCGCGGGACACACCTAATACTTTTTCGTTGGTAGGAAATTTTGAATTTTGCCCGGGTGGCGGCCGAAGCCTACTCTTATCGATTTTAGACCACCAAGGGATCTTTAACGTGCGCAACTTGCACACGGTCCCTCCGAGATTTTTCGCCCTTGTCCGAGAAGGCTAGGTGTAGATCTTTCCTACCAGAAGATCAGGGGTGTGGCAGAAAGACAGCAGTTAGGAGGAGCCAAGGAGTAGCAGTAGAAAGGCTGCAGAAAGAGTCAGGAGCCCAGAGGAGGGGGCAAAGGAGGTGAGGGGGTGGGGGCAGAAAGTGGAAATGAAAGCAGACAACAGAACATTGCTAGAGATCAGGAAAGGAGGTGAAAGGAGACAATTTTAGAGAAGAAAATTTTTTGGTCGCTACCCGGAATCGAACCCGGGACCTTTGAATGAGAGGCCAACACCTTAACCTCTAGGCCACGAGAGCCCCCTTTGTGTGGTTTTGAGTAAGAGAAACGCATCAGCAGCACAGTAATGGTAATAATAATGCTGGGGAAAAGTAAGAGGGGCGAACTGGAGTACAACAGAAGGAAAGAAAAGAGCAGGACGTACCAGTGGCACCCTCCAATCACCCGCCCACACACGAGTACACGTGTTCGTTGGTGAGGCAAAAGGGGTTAAATTAGTGTGCAGTTACACAAAATCATGTATGTTACGTTATGTGCATGTTTAGAGTTTTGCTACTGCGAAAGACTTTGCAGTATCAAACTATCAGACGACAACTACAGCATTAAATCAGTTTGTTTACAGAAAGAGTGCAATACACGTCGCTAATGAATGTCTAACCTTTTGTAGCTGGTATCATTGTTGATTGTTGCTGGCGATGTTGTGTATATAACATTCGGAAAAAATAGGCGGCCGATTTACCCCCCCCCCCCCCCTTTCCCCCGCCATTTTCCCCAGTTCCCTTTTTGTTAATATTAGGCCTATTATTTGTCACAGAAAAGGGCAAACCCAGCGCCAAACGGGTGTAACAACGTAGGCCTTATAGGCCTACTTATGATTCTTTCTTTCTTTCTTTCTTTCTTTTTTCTTCTTTTTTTTTTTTTTTGGTTGATAGCAAAACCTTGTGGAACAGTTGTAAATCCGAAACTCTACTAGCACAGGCAAACTTACATTTTATTTATACGAAAATGAGAAATTGTATTACGTTCCCATCGACATAATTAATATAATAGATAGGCCTAACTTCGCAGGCGGGGCGGCACCTTTGACCCTACCTTCAGGGTCAACTCGTGCAGAGTGGCATATTATTATACTGTAGGCTATGCCGCATCAAAGCATGCACATGATGAGATTTAATAAGAATCGAATTCGTGTCTTCTGAATGTAACGGCGAAGAGTGAAGAGCTTAGCCATTACATAAATGTAGGCCTACATCACAGACGCTGGGCGAACACGGCTTGCTAAAGAAACTCGAGCCCAACATAAAATTATAAGATAAGATAAACTGTTCTCCACTAAGTGAAATTTGCTGAGGTATGATGAATGTGCATTAGCAATCGTCAACACACACACACACACACACACACACACACACACACACACACACACACACACACACACACACACACACACACACACACTCTCTACTCTCTCTCTCTCTCTCACTCACTCACTCACACACTTACATACGCGCACTCACGCACACACACACACACACACACACACACACACACACACACACACACACACACACTCTCTCTCTCTCTCTATCACCCCACCCCGCTCTCGGGGTGTCTCTCTCTCTCTCTCTCTCTCAG